ACCTACCCAGACGGACTCAAGAGGAAATAGAAAGTCTCAGTAGACCTATAACAAGTGAAGAGATTGCATCAGTGATCACACACCTCCCAAGGAAAAAAAGGTCCTGGACCAGATGGCTTCACTGGGGAGTTCTACCAAACATTTAGAGAAGAATTGACACCAGTACTGTTTAAACTCTTCCAAAAGATAGAGAAGGAAGGAATACTTCGTAATTCATTCTATGAAGTAAATATAACCCTGATACCCAAACCAGACAAAGCCACTACAAGAAAAGAAAACTACAGGTCAGCATCTCTTTTGAATATAGATGCAAAAATCGTCAATAAAATGCTAGCGAACAGAATCCAATAGCATTTTAAAAGAGTCATACACCATGCCCAACTGTGATTTATTCCAGGAATGCAGGGATGGTTCAACCTGAGAAAATCAATCAGCATAATACACCACATCAATAGAACAAAGGTAAAGAACTACATGATCATCTCTATGGATGCAGAAAAAGCATTTGATAAAATCCGACACCTTTTCTTGATGAAAACCCTAAAGAATATTGGAGTACAAGGAAAATTCATCGATATTTTTCAGGGCATATATGAAAAGCCAACAGCCAACATTATGCTTAATGGAGAAAGACTGAGAGCTTTCCCCTTGAAATTGGGAACAAGACAAGGATGCTTGTTGTTAAACATTTCTATTCAATATTGTATTAGCAGTCTTAGCCAGAGCAATAAGACAAGAAAAAGGAATAAAAAGTATCCAGATTGGAAAAAAGTAAAATTATCTCTATTTGTGGATGATATAAACCTATATATAGAAAATCTCAAAGAGTCCACAAGAAAACTTCTAGAGGAATTTAGCAAAGTTGCAGTGTACAAGATCAGCAAACAAAAATCAGGTGAGTTTCTATGCACCAGCAATGTGTAAGGGAAATTAGGGAAACATTTCCATTTAGAATAGCATCTAAGAGAATGAAATGCCTAGGAATAAATTCAACCAGAGACATGAAGGACTTATACAATGAAAATTATAAAACACTAATGAAAGAGATTTAAGAAGTCTTAAATAAATGGAAAGATGTTCCATGTTCATGGATTGGAAGATTTAATGTTGTTAAGATGTCAGTACTCCCCAAAATGATCTATAGGTTTAGTGCAGTCCTGTTCAGAATTCCAACAGCATTCTTTACAGAAATAGAAAAACTAATTCTTAACTTTATATGCAATGGCAAGATACCTTGAATAGCTAGAACAGTGTTGAAAGAGAAGAACAAAGTAGGAGAACTCACACTTCCTGATTTTAAAACATACTATGCAGCTATGGAGCCGTGGTGACCCAGTGGTTAAGAGCTACGGCTGTTAATCAAACGATCGGCAATTCAAATCCACCAGCCACTCCTTGGAAACCCTATGGGGCAGTTCTGCTCTGTCCTATAGGGTTGCTGTGTGTCGGTATCAACTCGATGGCAATGGATTGGGGTTTTGTTTTTTTTTTAATTTTTTATGCAGCTATAGTAATCAGAACAGCCTGGTGCTGGTATAACAATAGACACATAGACCAATGGAATAGAGTTGAGAGTCCAGAAATAAACACCCACGTCTATGGACAACTGATCTTTGATAAGGGTACTAAGTCCATTCAGTGGGGAAAGAGGAGTCCAATAAATGGTGCTGGGAAAATTGAATTTCCACATGCAGAAAAATGAAAGAAGATCCATGCCTAACACCATACACAAAAACAAATCCAAAATGGATTAAGGGCCTAATTGTGCAAACTAAATCCATAAAATTCATAAAAGAACAAACGGGCAACCCTGTCAGGCCTAGCTTTCAACAGTGGATTATGTAATATAATAATAACAGCACAAACAGCTAAAGACAACATAAATGGGACCTTATAAAAATTAAAAACTTCTGTTCATCAAAAGACTTTACAAAAAAAGTGAAAAGTCAAGCTACCGACTGGGAGAGTATCTCTGGAAACCACATATCTGAAAAGAATCTAACAACTAAAATGTATATAAAACTTCACCTTAACAGCAAAAAGCCAAATACGCCAGTCATAAAATGAGTAAAGGACTTGAATAGACATATCACCAAAGAGGACATTCAAATGGCCACCAAACACATGAAAAGATGTTCAGCGCCATTAGACATCAGAGAGATGGGAGTTCAAAACCACAGTGAGATACCATTTCACTCCCATAGCTAAGATTAAAAAAAAAAAAAGAATGTTGTCAAGGATGTGGAGAAATTGGAATTCTTGTCTATTGATGATGGGACTGCAAAATGGTACAGCCGTTGTGGAAAACAGTGTGGCATTTCCTCAGAAAACTAGAAATTGAAACTATCATATGATCCAGCAATTCCACTCTGAGGTATATACCCAAAAGACTGGAAAGATGAGACTAAAAAAGAGACTTGTATACCAGTGTTTACTGCAGTACTATTTACGGTAGCCAAAAGGTGGAAGCAACTTAAATGCCCTTCAGCAGATGAATGGATAAACAAAATGTGGTACATATATACAATGGAATACTACTCAGCCAGTAGGAGAAATGAAGTCTTTTTTTTTTTTTTTTTTTTTGTCAGCCAGTATTTTTATCCAGTCTTTTTTCTGTGATGATTATTTGTTTGTGGGGTTGAGGTGTTATTGTATACACTCTTCTATTCACACTTTACAGTTCAATATGTATCAAATATTTTACCGTGTCAGAGAAATGAAGTCTTGATACATGCTACAGTATGGTTGGAGCTTGAAGACGTTATGGTGCGTGAAATAAACCGATCACACAAGGACAAATATTGTATGACCTCACTTATATAAAAATCCAAGAAAAGGAAAATGTATAGAGAACAGAGTTTATTAGTGGCTACCAGTGGGGGAGGGAGGGGGAAAAGGGGAGTTAAGGGTGATGGAAGAATTGCATTGATTTAAGGGTAGGGTTGCACAGCAGATTATTGTAATTGCTGTCAATAAGTTGTAGACCTGTAAAAAGTTGAATTGGTAAAAGCTGTGTGAAAGGTATATTTACAACAGTGACAAAAATACAAAAAAATACTGCTGAGGCTGCTTATGTACAGCCAAAGACCTCATGGGGTTTGGTTCCTTCATTTGGAGATTTAGTGTCATGGTTTCATGCAACATCCCAGGTAATTGGCCTGATAATGCATTTAGTGCTTCTGTTCTACCTCCTAGTTCGTTGCATAGTGCCTGGGGTCTTAAAAGCTTGCAAGTGTGCATCCGAGGCTCAAAAATCTGTCTCTATTCACCTGGAGCAACACAGAAAGGAGAGTCAGGAATAGGAGGAGCACATGGAATGTGTGGCTGATTGCCTCCATGAAAAACTGCCTCCTTTGCCATGACCTGAAAGAAGCTGGATGGTGCCTGGGTACCATTACTGAACACTTTGATCAAATATTCCATGGAAGAATTCTGATGTAAGGGAGGAAAATGCAGAACAGAATTTCAAATTCACATGGACTCTAGGGCCATGGAGGGTGGATGAACCCCTAAAACTATTAAGGGTAGGGTTGCATAGCCGATTATTGTAATTGCTGTCAATAAGTTTACACCTGTAAAAAGCTGAATTGGCAAAAGTTGTGTGAAGGATATATTACAACAATGACGACAAAAAAAAAAAAGAGTAGATACTGAGATAATGTTTAAACCTTAAACCAGTAATACCCCTGAAGTCATCTTAAAACTGAACAGTAGTTTAGCTTAACTAGTAAAAAAGGTATGCCTTGAGCATTATGCTCTTTTAAGATCTGTGTATATGAGATCAAATTGACAACAGCAACTTGAAAGATTAGGTAGGAACTTAGGGGGCAGTGAGTTTGTTAATGAGGGAAGAACAGCTCAAAAGGAGAGTGTGAATGGTTGCACAACTCAAAGAATGTAATCAGTGTCACTAATTATACGTGTAGAAAATTAAATTGTTGTATGTTTTGCTCTGTATATTCTCAATGACAACAACCAAAAAAATATAATAATAAAGGATTTTGCTAAATAAAAAGAATCCATAATCCCCCTGCCATAGCCTAATCAGCATTCTTGTGTTTGCATATTTCCTTCAAGATTCTTTTTTTATGGTTTGTATTACTTGAGTCATTTTAATATTTTAGCTCTCCTTTTCTTTGCATGGTAGGGCTCAGAGTGATTAACTTCTGTTTCTTTTCTAGTCTGCAAAACTTGTATCTGTTTTAAAGAAGGCACTTGAAATTACAAAGTGAGTATGAGGATTTTACCCCAAATAGCTCTTTGAGATTATTCTAGGTTTGCCTCCAGCCATTCTTGACTTCCATACCCCTGTTTCACAGAGTGAAAGAAGGTGGGTGTGGGATTTTCTTCCAACTTCAGTTGGGAGTAGCTGAGTTTCTGCAAAGAAACTTGCCTTTTCTTATAATTTCCTTTGTACTTTCTTTGGGTTTAGGGCTTTTCTCCATGGTATCATACATTTAACTTCTCTTTTCCCCATTCCATTTGCAGAGCAAGTCATGCGACCCCTCAACCAGAAGATAGTTGGATCCCTTTACTCATTAGCGCTGTTGATCATTGCATGAACAGAATCAAGGAGCTCACCCAGAGTGAACTTGAGTTATGAGTTGTCATGCTCGTTTGTACTCTCCTTATCTCTTCCTCTCTCATTGTTACACAGCCAGGAGCTGATGTGTGCTTTTAAAATGGGGTCAGAATGCTTTCTGGATCAAAAGAGAGTCCCTGTCTATACTTAACAAGAAATACTATTGCCAAGGTTGTTAGTTAGACCAGACTGGCTATTATTTATAAACCACAGGAGTGTGATATATTTTTCTGTGCTAGATGGAAAAGATAATTGCATGACTATGTGTTCTTGAATTGCCTCAGAGATCCCGGGGAAGCTGCCTCATGCATTTCCTATTTGCAATAAAGTGTGTTGTTTTTTTGTTAAAGGTGCTCATGATTTCAATAAAATAGTAACCTGCCAGTGGTTAAATGAGTACCCTTCCGAAGTTTCTTTCTACCAGAAATACAGTGGGTTGAGACTAGAACATTGCTTTCATTTGGGCTTATGGGTCTAAAGATCTGATTCTAATCCGAAGTATATTTAGAACAAAAATACTATTTAGAAAAGATGGCTCTCTAACTCCTCTTAATACTTCAGCATGTTATATAATATCACATCACTCTTAATCAGTAAGCCGTTTTGAATATTATTCCAGGTTACTTGATCCTCTAAAATTATTTTTTGGCTTTGGGCTCATCTTTTAGGTTTGTCCACCCTGATGAACAAGTTTGTTTTCCTTATACACGCTTACATTGTTCTCTTTGTTGTATAGTACATGTGTCCACAAATGTAAATACCAAATTTTTATAAATTAAAAAAAATTTTATATATAGATAGTTTATATAATTTTAAGAGCCTTTTCAGTTAGTCTTTTTACAAAATCATCATCACTTAATTCTATTTCTGCATCAGTCTGGAAGATCACATATTGGAAAGCAAGTCCCACTTGTAATGATGAGTATTCTGATGGCCTGAGTTGTACTACAGGATCCCCCACCTCTAATGCTGTTCCTCTTCCTTCTGTAGGTGTGATTCTCCACATCTGCTGTGCTCACGTCCCCACCATCTCTCTAGGGATAGTCAGCAACTGCACTTATTCTTTTGAGTGAGTAGTCTGTATTGGGTTGAAATTCCTTAAGCCAAATGAGTTTTAATTTACTTTTTTTAAAAATGCCATTCCGTACTTTTAACAAGTGTCATGAAGAGAAGGAACCATCCTAAAATCAAACTACTAGAGTGCCAAAGCAAAAAAAAACATAAGTTTGTACAGAAGGAATCCAGTTCTTTCTTTTTTCCTGATAGGCCCTATTTTCTATATACTTAATTTTATATTTCTCTAACTGGACCAGATTCATGGTTCTTCAGACTTTAATTATGAGATGCTTAATGAATATAGAACTTGAATAAAGGCTTATCTGTAGTTGAATCTAGAAGCTCATTCTGCTCTCAGGTCTTGTCTATTTTATAAGTTTGTTCAGTCATCTTTGGATCTTTAAGGGTAATAGCAACAATCAGTTTAATCTTAGGATTACCTAAAAATCCAATTTTTAGCTAATATTGTTCCACTTCATCAGAGATACAAGAATGACTTAAATGTTAGAAGCTTTCGCTTATCTATCAGCTGTTGTGTTAATGAGCAGTAAAATGGTTGTGAAAACCCTGAACCCGAGAAATCTGAATGTACTTATCTGAGTACCTTTTCAAAGGTTTCTTATTGCTCAGGCCCGGTAGTTCTGCGACAACTGGCGTTCCTGGCTGCCTTAAGCTGGGGTGACAGAAATGAATGGTAATCTAGTCCAGCTTTAGTCACTCTTCTACTCGTCCCGAATATTGGGATTCATTTGTCTGATGAGCAGTTTCCCTTCCCAACATGTGTTTGGCTTTACGATTGTAGCTTCAAGGGGGTGGTCAGGAAGAGTGGTGATAGAGCTGCTGGATTTTTAAGCTGGAAGTTCAGGGGCTATCACAGTAACATTTTTGTAGTTGGTTAGGTTCTGGAACATGTTGCAGTCCATTTCCACAGTGAGCCTCCAGACTCCCACACGCGTTGGCGTGAACTGGAACTGGGTGCGTAAGGTGCGTCCAGGCCGCACAGTCTTGTATCTGAAATAAAGGAAAAGCAAGTGCTAGTTTTGTCCCAGGTTCATTGCTCTGCTGGTCCCAGTGACTCTGACCCTTCCTTGCTGAAAGCAGAGGTAGACTCTGCAGAAATAAACATCTAAGTACCTTGCTGTTAAAACAGAGGTGATTCTAAGGGGATAGAAGACCAGAGCCTCCCTACACTGAGCTATTGCATGATTGAGAAGAAAAATATCATATTCTCAGTGCTTCCAGGCTGTATCTGTTGTTTCTTTTATTACCTGTGACTTCATTCTGGTTCAGTTCTTAGTACTGGGGTGTATTTGGAAAAGCTATAGTTTTGGAACGCTCATTTACTGCTAAGTAGAGTGGGTGCAGTGGGTATATTGAGAAGATGACAGTATGTTAGCAGGTGGTGTTTAGGGTCCTGTCAGCAACCTCCTGGTCTGCCTCTGGATCTTTTGGTAACTGAGGGAATGATGAAGGTTCCTTTAAGGCGCTTTGCTCCACAGTTGATCTGGGAGACCACTAGACTCCAGTTGAATGTTGGCAGGCCCTCCTCGCAACTGGCAAGAGTGACTCATTGGTTTCATGAGGCAGAGGCAGTGGCTTGATAACCCAACAACCTGTTAGGGACCTCAGGAACAGTAGAAATAGGCATCTTGAACTTTGAACTGTATATTGTGTATTCAACGAAGGATGCAGTGGACATAACGAGAAGAGACATAATGAAAGAAGGTATTTGCAACATCTAAAACTAACAAGAGACTAATGTCTAGAAAATACAGGGAACTCCTACAAACCAATAAGAAAAAGGCAGGAACATCAAAAGAAAACGATATGAACAAACAGTAGAAGAAGAAATTGAAAAGACTAATAAATATGTGAAGAGTTGTAAATTAAAACAATAATGAGATTATTTCTATTAGTCTGGAAAAAAAATAGAATAGTGGATATTGTCAAGAGTGGAGGAGAGGTAGAAATATAAAAACCCTCCTGTACTTTTGGAGGGAGTGTAGGCTCCCGCATCATTCTGCAAACAGTTCTGATGGGTCATATCTATGACCCAGCAGTTCCATTCCCAGGTACATATAAACCCATTGCTGTTGAGTTGATTGCGACTCATGGCGACCCCAAGTGTGTGAGAGGAGAACTACTCCATAGGGTTTTCTTGTAATCTTTACAGAGGCAGTTTACTAGGTCTTTCTTCTTTGGAGCCACTGGATGGTTTCAAACTGTCAACCTTCAGATTAGTAGTTGAGTGCAAACTGTTTCTGCCACCCAGGCTCCTTTTTGGGTATATACACCCCCTTCCGATGAGGATGTTCATTGCAACATTATTTGTGGTGTCGGAAGTTGGAGGCAATCTGGATGCCATCACTATGGAAGTGGAGTGTTACGTAGCAGAAGCAATGGATTAGACGTGGTTGAATCTTAAAAACAGTTCCAAGTGAAAAATAAAAAGATATAACAACATCATTTATATACGTTAAAAATACAGGCTCACGAAGTAACAATACACATTTTACAAGAACGCATACTAACAAAAGGATATACATACCAACAGAAAAATATGGAAGTTGGTGGTGTGAATGAGAATAAAAAGGAATAAGTTAAATAAAATTCTATATTGTGGTGGTCGCCAGTAGAATGCAACTCTGGTCACCCAAGAGACAGCCAGCCCTTCCTGTGATATTCTCTAGTACCCAGCCCCTCTCTGCATAACTGGGGCAGCAGAGTCACGTGGGTGTCTACAGCCTCCCTCACCCCTGTTCCCCTGTAGACATGGTGGCCCCAGGATGAGAGAGGCCATTTTGGTCATTAATCCTGGGTCCCTGCCTTTCTGAGGAGTTGAGATGTTTCAGTAGGACGAGAAATTTGCAGTCTCTTACCTGTAGGTCCTCTCTTTGTGAATGAGCCCCCTTCCATAGATGGAGATCACACAGTCCTCCATGGGAGCATCTAGGGAGTTAGGAATGCTGATAAAGGCCTTAAGAGGTTGATATTGCTCTGCTTTCTCTGGCATCTGTGGGAAGAGGCAAAATCTGGAGCTGGCGCTGCGAGCACAGATCTCCGTCGCTCTCCTCATTGCTGCCATTCTGACTCAAACTCCACAGCAGACTTCTTTACCACTTCTTTACCCCTTTACCTGATCTTCCTGCATTTACTCTTAACCTTGACCCATCAGTGACCATCCCTCATGGTGCTCTCCTCTGCTCCGAAACCTTGGAGGATTTCCCATTGTCTTCCACCTCCTTAGCTTGGCATCCAGGATCCTTCACAGTCTGCCTCCAACCCACCTCTCCAGCCTCACCTGTTCTTCCTTTGACCACATGACATCCCAGCTATGTTAGATACTTTCCCATTCCCAGCACACCCCCAGGGTCCCTTCATTTGGGCGTTTTTGCTCAGCCTTCTTTTTTACCTGCAGTGGTCTTTCCCCATCTCTGCATTGAAAGCTTACCCATATATTTCAAGCCCCAACATAAATGTCACCTCCTCCATGAAGTCTTCCCTAAACCCACCAGCTGGAATTAATCCCCTTTCAGTGAACCCATAGTGACTTTGTACCTCTATTAAAGCACTTAGGTAGAAGAGCGAATGTTGTCTCCCTTACCGAACTTTCTTGAGGGCAGGAACCATGTCTTCATTTTAGCCAGGGTAGACATGTGGAAAGAAGGCTGGACCAGGGGCCATAAGCCTCTGGAAATTTCTGTTTTTATACTCTCGGGCATGTCACTCTCTAGGACTCAGTTTCCTCATCTGAATAATGGGAACAGTTCCACCTCGCTGGGTTTTTTTTATTAGAACAAATAAACGGAAGTGAAAGTACTTTGGAATGTGCATAAAGTACTAAGTAAGCATAAGCTATTATTATCCCTACAAGTATGGAGGCAGCAATTGGGAAGGCCCTGATTTTGGAAATCTTTACTTAACCAACTAAAGAGGTTGAAAAATTTAGACCTTAATAGTATATATAAAAAACCCTCTCTTTCAAGAGAAGGGGGCTTCAAACCTAGATTTGTGGTAATTCTGCACCATGGCCATCTGCTCTGAAGCTTATACCCTGAGGGGCTCGGATTCCTTCTGAAATAGGGACCTGAGAGGAAGTCAGTGAGAGATTCAGGAATGACCGTGCCCACCTCAATGGCAAGGTGTGGTCTGCAAATGGCGATGTCTTCCTGAGCAAAGAGGGTGAGGTTGGACTCAGAGTATGTTGCCATGGCGGTCAGTCTGAGGAAGCTGTTCTCAGGTGGGTTTTGCTCAAAACTGGAGAAGGATAGCCTGTAGGTTTTTCTGTCAACTGAAACACATGACAGGCAGAGTCAGTGTGAAGGGGTAGCACGTCCCAGAAACAACCAATAATTACACACACAACGCAAGAAGTTAGGGTCTCAATGAAGTCAGAAAGATGCCTCATTCCCCACAGCAATTTCAAACGTTGAACTCACTCAAGATCCCACCTTCCACCACCACTGCCATCTCCTCCAACACCATTGGTGGGCTGCCTCAGTGGGATTGTGGAAAGGTCCTTGTGAGCAAGAACAAGTTAACCTCTTTTGACCTCAGTTTCCTTCTCTAATAATAATGCCTACCTCATGGAATGCCTTGTGTTAAACGAGATACTGCAAATGAAGAGCTTATCTCTGAACATGTCACATAGGAGTTGCTGAATATATGCCCAGTTAGTTCCTTCACATTCTCTGCCCTTTGTCTTTGCCTCTTACAGAAGTAAATGAAGCCATTAAGTCCAAATCCTCTTATGCTCATGTTTCCATTCCCAACTTTCAGCTGTTGACTTCTACGCCTGCTGTCATCCCCTCACCCGCAGGGATGAGAGCTCCTCCCTGCCCAAGTTGGATCCTTTGCTTAAATCTCTGCCCCATCCTGACCTTGCCACTAATTATCTGTGTAACCTTGGGCAAATTATTTAACCTCTCTCGGTCTTGGTCTCCTCATCTATAAAATGGGAATAATAATGGTTCCAGTCACATAATGAAGATTAATTCAGTAATGCATATAAAGCATTACATAATGTAATGCATTGAATTGTGTCCCCTCAAAATATGTGTTGTAAATCCTAACCCCTGTACCTGTGGTTAAGGAGCCCTGGTGACACAGTGATTAAGAACTTGGCTGCTAACCAAAAGGTTGGCAGTTCGAACCCTCTAATGGCTCCACAGGAGAAAAGACCTGGAGATCTGCTCCTGTAAAGATTAAATCTAATCTTAAATTATAATCTTTATAGCCTAGGAAACCCTATGGGGCAGTTCTACTCTGTCCTGTCTGGTCGACATGAGTGGAAATCCACTCGATAGCACACAACAACAATAACAATGCCTGTGATTATCTTCCCTTTTGGAAATGGTTTTTCTTTGTTATGTTAACGAGGCAGTATTAGTGTAGGGTGTGTCTTAAATCAATCTCTTTAGAGAAATAAAAGAGCAGATTAAGTAAGCAGGCAAGCACACATGGAGGGGAGGATACCACATGATCACTAAGGAACCTAGGAATAGAAACCAGAAATAGACAAGGACCTTCCCCCAGAGCTGACAGAGAAAGAGAGAGAGAGCCTTCTCCTAGAGTTGGCGTCCTGAATTAAGACTTCTAGCCTCCTAAACTGTGAGAAAATAAATTTCTGTTTGTTAAAGCCACACACTTGGGGTATTTCTGTTATAGCAGCACCAGAGAACTAAGATACGTGTGTGCTCTGGGCCCTGTCTAGCTCCCACACCACTCCTCCCACCCATTCCTCCCATCGTTGGAAAGGGATCAATGATTGAGAGACTAGAGGCAGGGAGACTGGGTAGGAGGCTGTTGTAACACCGAAGAAAAGCTCTAGTCCATGGATTCTCAAACTTGTCTCCACCTTGGGATCACCTGAGGAGTTTTAAAAACCCTGATGCTTGTGTCCCACCAGAGTTTCTGGTTTAACTGGTCTGGGCTGCGGCTTGGGCCTGGAACTTACCCAGGTGATTCTAATGAGCAGTGAAGTTTGGGACAACTGCTCTAGTCCAGGGAATTTAAACAAACCAGTGCCTGGACCTCATCCCAGACCAATTAAATAAGCAAGTCAGGGAGTAGGGGAGACCCTTTACACATATTGTTCCTTCTGCCTGGAATGCCCATGACTCACTTTTCTGTCACTCATCCATTCATCCTTCAGGACCCAATTCAGGTCTGTTTTATTTGGGGGCAGCCTGCTCCAGCCTGGGTCAGATGTTCCCCTGACATTGCACTCTGTTTACCTTGCTGTCATGTTACACCATCGTCATGGTCTGTTTACCTATGTGACTCCCATCTGAACTGTTGTTTTCTCCTTCTGTGTCAAGCCCGATAAATATGTGTGGAAGGATTGAATTAGACAAAGAGGGAGACAAACAGAGGAAGCAGACGGGCACATGCCAGGGAATAGAGCCATCTTGGGAGACCTGCAGGGGGTGCCCAGTGTGTGGGGGTGTCTGGTGGAGCAAGAGAGCTTTACCCAGCTTGGTGCTGAGTGTGAAGGACTGCTTCTCCCTCCAGAGCTTGGCAGCAAGGATACCCTTGTAGGACACTGCCTGGACCTCAGTCGTGAGCTGCACTGTCTTCTCCTGGTTGTTGGGGTTAACCAGGGTCACAAAGAACTGAGCATCCCCTCTCAGGGGCAGGGAGCTGGGTGCTTCCAAAAACAGGTACAAACGATCTACAGTCTCATGTTCCATTCTCTTCTTGGCTCTCTCCTTCTCAGCTCTCTCCTTCTCGGCTCTCTCCTCAGTGCTCTCCATCTCAGCTCTCTCCATCTCAGCTCTCTCCAGCACCTTTTTTTCTTCAAGAGATCCTGAGGAATGGAAGAAACAAGTCTTTTACCTAGCAGGTAGGTTGTTGCTGGGTGCTGTCAAGTTGATTCTGACTCATAGGGACCCCAAGTGACAGAGTACAACTGCCCTATAGGGTTTTCTTGGCTGTAATCTTTACAGGAGATTTCCAGGTCTGTTCTCCTGCAGAGCCGCTGGGTGGATTTGAACTACCAGCGTTTTGGTTAGCAGCCAAGTGCTTAACCCTGCACCACCACGGCTCCTTCCGTAGCAGGTATACTGGTTAAACCCATTGCCACTGAGTTGATTCCAACTCATAGCAACCCTATAGGACAGAGTAGAACTGCCCCGTAGAATTTTCAAGGAGTGGCTGGTGGATTTGAACTGCCAGCATTTTTGGTTAGCAGCTCAGCAATTAACCACTGTGCCACCACTGCTCCAGGAGGTATACCAAAAAAAACCCCAACCCCATTGCCGTTGAGTTGATTCCAACTCACAGCAAGTCTATTTGACAGAGTAGAACTGCCCCATAGGGTTTCCAGGGAGCAGCTGGTGGATTCCAACTGCCAACCTTTTGGTTAGCAGCTGAGCTCTTAACTACTGCACCACCAAGGCTCCTTAAAAGCCCAGAATTAAAATTCATTTACCCACTTCTGCTCAAATGCCAAAGTCACAAAGGCTTTGCAAACCTCTAAGGCTATATGTTGTGTGTGTTGTGTGTGTTGGGTTGTTTCTGGGGCAGTGAAGGAGGAAGACTCCAGGTTAGTGCAAGTGTTCTTGTTTGGATAAATGGTTGGACAGTGGTGCCATTAACTGATTTAGAGGAACAGGTTGGGGGTTATTAGAGGAGGAGGAGGAAGAGGGGGAACATCACAAGTCTTCTGGCAGCTGGGCTTGCTATTGTTGTCAGCTACTATCAGTCGGCCCCCAATTCATGGTGGTCCCGTACACAGTGGAACAAAATCCTGCCCAGTTCTGTGCCATTCTATGATCAGTGGAGGATCGGACCATTGAGATCCATAGGGTTTGCACTGGTCAGCATCATAGTGACATGCAAGCCTCCACTGACAAATGGGTAGTGGCTGCCCATGAGGTGCATTGGCTGGAAATCAGTTGAACCTGGTCCTGCATGGAAGGCAAAAATTCTACCACTGAACCAGGCTTGATGTTAGGTGCATTGTTTTATAGCAGTAGTTTTCAATTTGGCGCAGTTTGTTACAACTTGAGGGAGGGGTAATGGTATCTAGTGGGGAGAGGCCAAGGGTGGTGCTAAACATCCTACAAGGCACAGGTCAGGCCCCACAACAAAAAATTATCTGGCCCAAAATGTCAACAGTGTCAAGGATGAGAAACCCTGATTTATATGATGGAGAAAGGACTGGGGCTCTCTGGCCTGCACCTGTCTGGTGCATCCCTTTCCTCTCGCTGTTTCAGGTCCTGGGAAGCCTGACACCCTTCCCTGCCCAGTACCTTCAGGATACTTGTAGTTCTGAGTGATGTCCTCACAGTGCTCGCTGCCCACACCCTTGGTACTGATGTTATCACCAACATACTTGGTGTTGGAGGCGGTCAGCTCCAGTGTTGCATCGTCATGGCGCTTCCAGACCATGCACTTGGCGTTTACTGCAGCAAAAACGTCTGCTGCTGCAGGGGTCAGAGTCAGTTTCCCCTCCTTGACTGCTCTGACTGGGACCAAGTCATAGGCCTCCAGAACTGAGGGGGAGAAAGGTTGATGAGCAAGAGGAGCCACACTCAGAACTCTGCTGGGGTCAGAGCTGCATAACCTCAGAGCCCATCCTACATCCTATTTTCCCTCCCCTGGGACCAAGGTCAAAGGTAGGTACTAGACTGGGGCATCACAGGTGAAATTCACAAATGATTAGTGATAATACTTTTGGCCTGTGGCAGAAAACCTCTCAGAAATTGGACAGGCAGAACCTCAGAGGAACCATCTGCAGAGACGTTCCTAAGCCATCTTTGCTACTGATATGACAGGAATAAAATCAGTTGCCATTGAGTTCATTCTGACTCATGGCAACCTTTTGTGTGTCAGAGTAGAGCTGTGCTCCATGGGGTTTTCAATGGCTTATTTTTTCAGAAGTATATTGTCAGGCCTTTTCTTCCAAGGCACCTCTGGGTGGATTTGAACCTCCAAATTTTGGTTAGCAGCAGAGCACATTAACCACTTGCACCACCTAGAGACTATATGATAGGAACAGGTCACCTTTACTGAGCACTTACTATGTGCCAGGTTCTGTGCCAGTTCTGTTCCTGGGTGAGAAAGAGCCATGCTTTTATGGCTCCAGAGATTCCTTCTCTGGGCCTCAGCCTATCCTAATATCCCTTCAGCCATAGTCCCCAGAAGCCCCAGACTGAGTGCATTCACCAGCATCTTAAGACCCTGTGTCCTTCACTGAGACTCAACTCCCTGCCCTTTTAATCTAAGCTGGGCTGTCTCTCTACAGCCCTGACACTTGTGTTCTCTTAATCCTGCTGGCATCAGGTCAGCATTCTGTGGTCCACTATCATTCATTCTGCTTCTCCTGTTTTAGAAGATGCAGACGGAGGCAGGGCCAAGATGGTAGAGTAGTCAGACGCTTCCTGTGGTCCTTCTTACAACAAAGACCCGAAAAAACAAGTGAATCGATTATATATGACAATCTAGAGGCCCTGAACATCAAAGGCAAAGTTGAGGAATCAGACTGAGTGGCAGGTGGAAGGAGAGACAGCTCAGAAGCAGCGAGGAATTGCCAGACCTGACCCAGCGAGAGCCGGCACCCTTCAGGCTGGATCGACTGGTGTGCACGGTGAGGCAAGGAGTGGTTTTCGGGGTACGTTTTCCACATTGGGAGAGACCCAGTGGTAGAAAGTCTACTCGGGCCTTCAGAACCAGTGAAAAGTGGCACACAATCAGCCAAAGATAAGTACATACATCTGACCTACTGTGTGGATCAAAAACCCCTTTGGGAAAAATTTTCCTGCCCCCTCCCCGCTCTGCACCAGGTCTTGGGCTGACTTCAGCGATTGCTGTGTCCCCTGGGCTGGAAATAGGACCCGTCACATGCCCTGAGCCATTCTCCTGGCCTTGGAGAGGGAATAAATTAACAAACAGGAAAAAATAATCCACCAGTTCTCCTAAGCTGGGAGCTCAGAGTAGGCACAGCTCCTCTGCCTAGGCACAGGCATAAGGGGTCCACAGACTTTGAATGCCTTTCATCCGTGCATAGACCTGTGTGGGCCCATTTCAACAGCGTAGAGCCTCATTACCACAGTACAACAGGGACTATACCTGAAGCCTGACTTCAACTGTATCAGCTATATGGTGGAGTGGTAGGTTCATGACATTTGACACTGCACTGCCCGTTAAGCAGGGTCCTCACCTACCCACATCAGGGGCCTGAGGACTGGTGGCTCCACACACGCCACCTAGCCATCCATGACAGGGGTCCAAGAATAAGTGGTGCCCCCCAGTCCTTACAGCCAACAGCAATGAGTGCCCATAATCTGGCTGCAAAACCCACCCACCTATGCGCTCTAGGGAACAGGGACATGCTTTCCTCCCAGACACTCAGGGACAGCCATCAGCCCCCTGCCTTGCTCAGCGCGCAACCCCCTACTGCAGCCAGATACCTGTGCCTACACCAATCACCTATGCCAGTCTAGGACTGTAGGTGAGAGCCTGAACCACACATTTGGTGACTGACTACTTCGACACCTGAGCTGAATCCGTAAAAGAAAAGTAAATGGACTCCTGGGCTCACATACCTAGTAACAGATCTAACCACCTGGTGACAGGACGTTAGAGCCTTCAAAGGTGCCAGTAATCAAACTGGCTCACACAAGCAGCCTATTTGGACATATCAAAACAAAATAAAACAAGAAGCTAGGACACAGTAAGCAAACATAAAATAACTTATTGATGGCTCAGAGACAACAGTTCATATCAAATCACATAGAGGCAGACCATGATGGCTTTAGCAAGCTCCCAAAACGAAGAAATTTGCCGGAGGAAGAGAACTACTTGGAATTACTGGAGATAGAATACAAGAGATTAATATACAGAACTCTTCAGGAGATCAAGCAAAATGCAGAGCAAGCCAAGGAACACACAGACAAAACAATAGAGGAATTTAAGAAGATTAGAGAAGAGCATAATGACAAATTTAATAGGCTGCAAGAATCCGTAGAGAGACAGCAATCAGAAATCCAGAAGATTAACAATAAAATATCAGAATTAACTCAATAGAAAGTTATAGGAGAAGCAGAATTGAGGCAATAGAAGTCAGAATTAGTGAAATTGAAGATGAAGCACTTGACACTAACTTATTTGAGGAAAAATCAGATAAAAGAATTTAAAAAATGAAACTCTAAGAATTACATGGGACTCTATCAAGAGGGATAACCTACGAGTATTGGAGTACCAGAACAGGGGGATAACAGAAAAGACAGAATTGTTGAAGATTTGTTGGCAGAAAACTTCCCTGATATTGTGAAAGATGAAAAGATACCTATCCAAGAAGCTCATCGAACCCCACTTAAGGTAGATCCCAAAAGAAAGTCACCAAGACATGTTATAATCAAACTCGCCAAAACCAAAGATAAAGACAGAATTTTAAGAGCTGCTAGGGAAAAATGAAAAGTCATCTACAAAGGAGGGTCAATAAGATTAAGCTCAGACTACTCAGCAGAAACTATGCAGGCAAGAAGGCAATGGGATGACATATACAAAGCCTTGAAGGAAAAAAATTGCCAGCCAAGATTATATATCCAGCAAAACTGTCTCAAATATGATAGTGAAATTAGGGCATTTCCAGATAAACAGAAATTTAAGGAATTTTCAAAAACCAAACCAAAATTACAAGAATACTAAAGGGATTTCTCCAATTAGAAAATCAGTAACATCAGATAACAACCCAAGACTAGAACACAGAACAGAGCAACCAGGTATCAACCCAGATAGGGAAGACACAAAAGTAAATCAAAGCTAGAACACTGGAAATAGGGAAACAGAGATGTCAACATGTAAAAGATGACAACATTAAAACAAAAAAGAGGGACTAAAAAATGTAGTCAGATCTTTCATATGGAAAGGAAGTCAAAGTGATATAAAGAAGTAAAAGACTGGTTTAAACTTAGAAAAATAGGGGTAAATATTAAGGTAACCACAAAGGAAACTAACAGTCCCACATATCAAAATTAAAAAACAAGAAAAACTCAGCAAATACAAAATCAACAACAATGAAAAAGAGGAAAAGAAAATACATAAAGAAAAACGACTCAGCACAGAAAATTAAGTGGAACAAAGAAACTGTCAACACCACACAAAAAACGACATCAAAATGACAGCACTAAACTCATACCTATCAATAATTATGCTGAATGTAAATGGATTAAGTGCACCAATAAAGAGAGAGTGGCAGAATGGATAAAAAAAAAACACAATCCATCTATATGCTGCTTACAAGAGACACATCTTAGACTTAAAGACACAAACTAAAACTCAAAGGATGGAAGAAAATACATCAGGCAAACAACACTCAAAAAAGAGCAGGGGTGGCAATATTAATCTCTGACAAAATAGACTTTAAAGTAAAGTCCCTCACAGAGGATAAGGAAGGACACTATATAATGATTAAAGGGTCAGTACTCCAGGAGGACATAACCAAGTAAATATTTACACACCCAACAACAGGGCTCCAAAATACATAAACTCTAACAGTATTGAAAAGAGAGATAGACAGTGCCACAATAATAGAATCAACACACCACTTTTGGTGAAGAAGAGAACATCCAGAAAGAAGCCCAGTAAAGACACGGAAGGTCTAAATGCTGCAGTCAACCAACTTGATCCAATAGACATATACCAAACACTGCACCCAACAGCAGCCAAGTATACTTTCTTTTCCAACACACATGGAACATTCTCCAGAATAGACCACATATTAGGCCATAAAGCAAGCCTTAACAGAATCCAAAGCACTGAAATATTACAAAGCATCTTTTCTGACCATAAAGCCATGAAAGTAGAAATCAATAACAGAAAAAGCAGGGGGGGAAAAAAAAACACATGGAAACTGAACAACACCTTGCTCAAAAACTACTGGGTTATAGAAGAAATTAAGGATGGAATAAAATTCACAGAATCAAATGAGAATGAAAACACATTCTACCAGAACTTTTGGGACACAGCAAAAGCAGTGCTCAGAGGTCAATTTATAGCAATAAATGCACACATCCAAAAAGAAGAAAGGGCCAAAATCAAAACATTAGCCCTGTAACTCAAACAAGTAGAAAGAGAGCAGCAAAAGAAGCCCTTGGGCGCCCGAAGAAAGGAAATGATAATTAGAGCAGAATTAAATGAAATAGAGAATAGAAAAACAATTGAAAGAATTAACAAGACCAAAAGCCGGTTCTTTAAAAAGATCAACAAAATTGATAAACCACTGGCCAAAGTGACAACAGAAAAACTCGAGAGGATGCAAATAACCCAAATAAGAAATGAGATGGGCGATATCACAACAGACCCAACTGAAATTAAAAAGAATTAGAATACTATGAAAAATTGTACTCTAACAAATTTGAAAATCTAGAGGAAATGAACAAATTTCTAGAAACACACTACCTACCTAAACTAACACAAACAGAGATAGAACAACTAAATAAATCCATAAAAAAAGAAGAGATTGAAAAGGTAATTTAAAAACTCCCAACCAAAAAAAACCCTGTTCTGGACGGCTTCACTGGAGAATTCAACCAAACTTTCAGAGAAGAGCTAACACCACTACTACTAAAGGTATTTTAGAGTATAGAAAAGGATGGAATACTCCCAGACTCATTCTGTGAAGCCAGCCTAAGCCTGATACCAAAACCAGGTAAAGACACCAGAAAAAAAGAAAATTACAGACCAGTAACCCTCAGGAACATAGATGCAAAAATCCTCAACAAAATTCTAGGCAACAACACATTAAAAAAATAATTCACCATGACCAAGTGGGATTTATACCAGGTATGCAGGGATGGTTCAACATTAGAAAAACGATCAATGTAATCCATCACATAAAACAAAAGACAAGAACCACATGATTTATCAATCGATACAGAAAAGGCGTTTGAGAAAGTCCAACACCATTCATGATAAAAACTCTCAGCAAAATAGGAATAGAATGGAAATTCTTTAACATAATTAAGGCCATTTATACAAAGCCAATAGTCAACATCATCCTAAATGGAGAGAATCTGAAAGCGTTCCCCTTGAGAACAGGAACCAGACAAGGATGCCCTTTATCACCACTCTTATTCAACATTGTGCTAGAGGTCCTAGCCAGAGCAATTAGGCTAGAAAAAGAAATAAAGGACATCCAAATTGATAAGGAAGAAGTAAAAGTATCTCTGTTTGCAGATCATGTGATCTTATACACAGAAAACCCCAAACAATCCACAAGAAAACAACTGGAACTAACAGAAAATTTCAGCAAAGTATTAGGATACAATATAAACATACAAAAATCAGTTGGATTCCTTTACACCAACAAACAGAACCTCGAAGAGGAAATCACCAAATCAATAGCATTTACAATAGCCCCCAAGAAGATAAAATACTTAGGAATAAATCTAACCAGAGACATAAAAGACCTATACATTGAAAACTACAAGACACTATTGCAAGAAACCAAAGCACACCTACGTAAGTGGAAAACATACCTTGCTCATGGATAGGAAAACTCAACATTGTGAAAATGTCTATTCTACGCAAAGCAAGCTACAGATACAGTGCAATCCTGATCCAAATTCCAACAGCATTTTTTAATGGGGAAACAAATCACCAACTTCATATGGAAAGGGAAGAGACCCCCACATAAATAAAGCGTTACTGAAGAAGAACAAAGTGGGAGGCCTCACGCTACCTGATTTTAGAGCCTATTTTACTGCCATGGTAGTCAGAATAGCCTGGTACTTGTACAACAACAGATACACAGACCCCTGGGACAGAATTGAGAATCCAGATGTATATTCGTCTACCTATGAGCAGCTGATATTTGACAAAGGCCCAAAGTCCATTAAACGTGGAGAAGACAGTCTCTTTAACTGGATATCCATCTGCAAAAAAACTGAAACAAGATCCATACCTCACACCAGGCACAAAAACTAACTCAAAATTGATCAGAGACCTCAATATAAAATCTAAAACGATAAGGGAAGAAAAAATAGGGACAATGCTAGGGGCCCTAATACATGGCATAAACAGAATACAAACCATAAGTGACAATGCACAAACACCAGATAAGAAACTAGATAGCTGGGAGCACCTAAAAATCAAACACTTACGCTCGTCAAAAGACTTCACCAAAAGAGTCAAAAGACAACCTACAGACTGGGAAAAAATTTTTGGCTACGACATATCTGATCAGCATCTAATCTCTAAAATCTACAAGAAACTGCAAAACCTCAACAACAGAAAGGCAAATAACGCAGTTAAAAAATGGGTGAAGAATATGAGCAGGCACTTCACCAAAGAAGACATTCAGGCAGCTTCCAGGCACATGAGGAAATGCTCATGATCATTAGCCATTAGAGAAATGCAAATCAAAACTACAGTGAGATACCATCTCACCCCAACAAGGCTAGCAGTAATCCAAAAAACACCAAATAATAAATGTTGGAAAGTTTGTGGAGAGACTGGCACACTTGCACACTGATGGTGGGAATGTAAAATGGTACAACCACTTTGGAAATCAATTTGGTGCTTCCTTAAAAAGCTAGAAATAGTACCATATGATCCAGCAATCCCACTCCTTGGAACATATCCTAGAGAAATAATGGCCATCACATGAATATATATATATACACCCATGTTCTTTGCAGCATTGTTCACAATAGCAAAAAGATGGAAACAACCTAGGTGCCCATCAATGGATGAATGGATAAATAAATTACAGTATATTCACACAAGGGAATACTATGCAACGATGAAGAACAATGATGAATCCATGAAACATAACATAGAGGAAGCTGGCAGGCATTATGGTGAGTGAATTTAGTCAGTTGCAGGACAAATATTGTATAAGACCACCATTGTAAGAACCCAAGAAAAAGTTTAAATACAGAGGAAAACATTCTTTGATAGTTGTGAAGGTGAGGAGGAAGGGAGAGGGATATTCACGAACTGGATCATAGACAAGAATTATCTTAGGTGAGGGGAAGGACAACACAAACTACAGGGGAAGTCAGCACAACTGGACTAAACCAAAAGCTAAGAAGTTTTCTGAATACAACAAAACACTTCGAGGAACAGAGTAGCAGGGGCAGAGTTCTGGGGACCATGGTTTCAGGGGACATCTAGGTCAGTTGGTGTAACAAATTTTACTTAAGAAACTTTCTGCATCCCACTTTGGTGAGTGGTGTCTGGGGTCTTAAAAGCTAGCGAGTGGCCATCTGAGATGCATCAATTGGTCCCAAACCATCTGGAGCAAAGGAGAATGAAGAACAGCAAAGACACAAGGAAAGTATTAGCCCAAGAGACAGAAAGGACCACATAAACCGGAGACTCCATCAGCCTGAGACCAGAAGAACTAGATGGTGCCCGGCTACCACCAATGACCACCCTGACAGGGAACATAACAGAGAGTCCTTGATAGAGCAGGAGAAAAGTGTGGTGCAGAACTCAAATTCTAATAAAAAGACCTGACTTAATGATCTGACTGAGACTGGAGGTACCCTGGAAGACATGGCCCCCGAACTCTCTGTTAGCCCAAAACTAAAACGATTCCCAAGGCCAACTCTTCAGACAAAAATTAGACTGGACTATAAAACATAAAATGATACTCGTGAAGAGTACTCCTTAGCTCAGGTAGATACATGAGACTAAATAGGCAGCTCCCGTCTGGAGGCAAGATGAGAAGGCAGAGAGGGTCAGGAGCTGGTTGAATGGACACGGGAAATCTGGGGTGGAAAGGAGAAGTGTGCTGTCACAGTAGAGGGAGAGCAACTAGAGTCACATAACAATGTATGTACAAATTTTTGTATGAGAAACTAACATGAACTGTAAACTTTTACTTAAAGGACAATAAAAAAATGTTACGTATAAAAAAAAGAAGAAGCAGCAGATGGCCTTTCAAGCACCTACTGCTCCTGTTTCCTTTCCAGGACTCCTTCAGCTCTTGGCTCTTCTGAAGAGCACAAAGGACACAGGTGCTCTGAGCCGCATGTTCTAAAAGAGAGTGCCTGCTCTGCTGACAGCTTGGGTTGGTCTGATGACCCGTCATTAGTGTCAGCACTTCCAGATGATATCGTATCACGGTCAGCATGGTTTCCTAAGGTCGCAGCCGCCTTGCACACGTGGTGAGGTCCTGTCCTGGTCTCACCCCCAGGCTTTACCTCCTCGAGGAGTTGGGTACAGAATCTGCCATCCATTATAATCTCGGGACAAATCAGGCCGGGCCATCCAGCACTCTGTGGAAGTCTGGAAGATCCTGAAAGTAGCAAATGGAAAAACTCAAGTGGGAGAAGAAGGAGTCCTGAAGAGCTCTAGAAATGCCATCTGGCCGAGCCGGTGTTGCCATGGGGGCAGGAGGGTGCCATGTGAAATGGCTGCAAAACTCCCAGGACAACTGGCGCTCAGTGTCCTGCCTCTAAGAGTATTGGAGGACTATTCTCAGTGCCCACTGGGGTCTAGGGGTTCCGTGGGGTCACACCACGTGGATTTGGAGCCCTTCCTGGTCTGGGACCTCACCCCTCTGGGCTTCTTACCAGATTCGGCCTTCCTGGTCTTCTCCGTTCTGAAGGCCTTCCTCATTGCAGTATTCACCTACAATCAGCTTCCCGCCGGTTCCCTGGGCTGAGGAGAACACGGTAATGACCCGGGCAGGGATTCCCAGGCAGCGCAGCACTACACAGGGGAGGGGCAGAGTGTCAGAGAGTGCCACAGAGGCCTGGGGTGGGGGCAGTGTGTAAGCCTAGAATTTTCAGGGCCTGCCCTGGGCAGGCCGTATCTTAACTGCCAGGTGACATCTTGGAGGAGGAGGGGCACAGGTACCAGAAAGTGAGAACCCAAGACCTCCAAGAGCCCTCAAGAATAGGACATATAAAGGCAGATAAGGTACAAACAAGTGATAAGCAACACAGAATATGTAGTGGGGAAAGGGCTACAGGATATATAACAGAACACTTCAGGGCTTGCTCTGTTGAGGCAGGTGATGGAAGTTTCAGGGGAAAAGTGAATTTGGGAGCAGAGCTTGCCAGATGGGCCCAACTTTGCTAAGGAGAAAAGGCGCAGAAGCTGGTCAGGAGGAGCTGCCTGGGACAAGTAGCTGGTTCTTGGCCAGATGGTGCATCTGAACCAGTCAGTGTTGTGATGAAGGTGGATAAAGGTTGCGGAGTGGAGGCTGTGCTTGCTTTTTGGGGCAGTGGTCTCTCCCACATGGGGGACAAAGGGGCAACCTGAGAGGCGGGGCAGATGCTCTGGACAGGAGGCAAGGTGACCTGTGGGCGTGGCAGGCAGACCTGCTGTGTACCTGTGCAAGCCACAGCGGCCAGCACCCAGGCCTGACCATCATACACAGGTCGCCCTTGGCCTGTGAGCCACTGCCGGAGGATAGGCACACTGCCCCGGCGCTTGGTCAGCAAGGCTGCATCCTGGGTCTGCAGGGTGGGCAGGACACACTTCTTCTTGTGATCATGCAGCTGTTTGGGGAAATGCGCAGATGTTAGTGTGAGTCCTGCAGGCAAGGCAGCTTCCTGGCTGTTCTCCAGGCGTGCCACAAAGACCACCTTCGTCAGAACCACCTGGTACCTGTGAAACCTGCATGTCCCTGGGCTCCACCCTAAACCCACTGGATGATAATCTCTAGGGTAGGTCCCAGGAACCCTCCTTTTTAACAAGTCCTCCGGAAGCAGGGGTTTTGGCCACAACTCGACCAACAAAGCTCAAGCCACAAAGAGCATAAATGCGCCCCTCCTTCCCCTGTTAGGAGCTGGTCTCATGGGTTCTTAACTTCCTCAGCCTTGGTTCCTTTGAGGTTGTTTCACCTGGGTACTCGAGTCCCACCTAGGCCAGCTTCCCCTGCCTCACAGGCTGGCCTTGTCCCTCACCACCGCTTCAGAGGGGAGTCCAGAGTCTCTCTTCCAGGGGATATTGGGAACACGTTACTCCTGTGAAAGGACTTTAGGGAAAGCGCCAAGCTACTTTCATGGTCTGGATATTCTTGGGAATAAGTTAGAAATGAAAATGTCCCTCTGACCACCTTAGCAGCAAACACTGGGTAAAATGGACTCCCAGATTGGGGCTGGGAGGAGGAGGCTGGGTGAGGGATGAGGCCTCTGAGGAAATCAAGGCCAATTTTAGCCCTTGGCTTTTGTCTTCCACCAGTGCTGAGGGATGATACCTCCCTTTGCTCTTCTGCCCCTGTGGGTGCTATAAAAAAAGGAGTCCCTGAGTGGCACAGTCAGTTAAGCCCTCAACTACTAACTGAAAAGTTGGCACTTCAAACCCACCTCAGAAGAAAGGCACCTTGGAAGAAAGACGTGGTGATCTGCTTCTGAAAGGTCATAGCCTTGAAAACCCTATGGAGTCATTCTACTCTGCACACATGGGATCGCTGTGAGTCAGAATGACTCAACAGCAGTTGGTTTTCTGGTTGGTAGGTGCTCTTGCCTGTCCTCCCCTCCTCACTCACACCCTTCTCGGGTAACTGTCTCTCACGACCTGGGAGAAGGGGGCCATTTGTCAGATGAAGGTTTCCAGGGCCATTGAGGTAAAGCAGATCTGTGGGAGGGTTCTTGTCTCATTTCCTCCCCACTTGGGCCTCCCCCCGCCTCTCTCTCACCAAGGCGCCCACTGCCTGGGCCACATGTGTGGGGTCGCTCCACTTCTCCCTCTGCTTGTTCTCGCCCAGCAAGCGCACGCTGAGGTCAATGACATCCCTCTCGAACTGTAAGGACCACACAGGGCCATGATAAAGGGTCTCCAGGTCAGGGACTCACCCCACAAGACAGCCCTGTCATCCCGCCCTGCCCCCAGACTCCACCCCTTCCTCCCTTACCTCCTGGTCCCCACTGGGAGTTCTAGCTCTTCCATCCCCCACTGCTGCCCCTGGTCCCTGTGCCAGGCAGTCCAGTCCTTTGCTGTTACATTGTCTGACTCTCCCAGTGAGTGTGAGCCCTTGAGGACCAGGGTTTGTCCTTTCCTTTCGTTTCTATTGTTCCACATTTGGTGAGTCCCTGCTGTTCCTGCCCTCAATGAACCAGGTGCGGGGGATGCAAAGGCAGCTCCTGATCACAGAAGCCCTCAGTTTAGGAGTGGAGATGGACACTGCTGTGGATTGAATTGTGTGTCCCCAAAATATGTGTTGTAGATATTAACCTCTATACTTGTGGATGTAATCCCATTTGGGAATCGGGTTTTCTTTTTTATGTTGATGAGGTTGTATCAGTGTAGAGTGTGTTTTAAGCCAATCACTTGAGATACAAAAAGAGCAGATCAGACACAGAAGCAAGAAAGCACACATGGAGTAAGACTGATGTCATGTGGAGACCACCAAGGAACCAAGGAAGAGAAGCTGAAGGAGACAAGGATTTTCCCTCAGAGCAGACAGAGCCTACCCCTAGAGCCGGTCCCCTGGATTTGGACTTCTAGCCTCCTAAACTGTAAGAAAGCCACCCACTGTGGTATTTCTTTTATCAGCAGCACTAGATAACTAAGACACATCCCACTGAGATGATAACAACGTGGCAAGGGATCTAGTAGCACTACCAACACACAACAGACAACACAGGAGTGTTTTCCCGGGAATAAAGGAGGGAAAACTCTTCCAGGCAGACTGAACATTCAGCCTGTGTGTTCAGGGGTTGGAGAGGAGCATGAGCATAGGGTGGCTCTTGGGGGAAGGAACACAGTGGCCTGGTTGTGCAGGGCCTTGAGTGACAAGCTAGGGGTTTTGTTTTTATCCTGTAGACAATGAGGCTGTAACAGAGGTTTGATTTGCCTCAGGAAGCTAACTCTGGCAGCCATCGAGGATGGTCTGATGGTGGCCTGAGGAAAGAGAGGCACCATAAGGCTGAAACTTGTTTTAAAAATGGCCTTGAGACCAGGGGCTGGTGGACCTGCCAGCCCTGGCCTGAACACTGAAGGTTGTAGGACAATCCCTGCCCCGTCCCCAACCTAGAGGCCCCCAGTACCTGGCCGAAGTCCCAGGGCTCTGTCTGGATGCAGTTAGCCGTTCCCAGGTAGATGAGGCCATTGTGGTTCAACAAGTACTCGCTGCGTTGAGCCTCATTCCACAGGAACACAGCATCCTCTTGTGAGAAGCAGGGAGGGATGAGGACCTGAGGGTTGCTAAGTCTGCCCTCCATATCCAGGCCTCTGCCCTCCCTGCCCAGCAGGTCAGGTTTGGCTGCAGGCCTTCCCTTTGGTTTGGGGCCTGATGGACAATGAGGCAGAACTTCTCATTCTGGGACCACTGGGACCCCATCTACTCACTGGTAGAAAGCCCGGAAAGTGGTTAGACTCCCTGGGTCAACCAAGGTGTGGCCCTCATGCTCTGCTACGCAGATAGGGAAAAGCCAACCTCACGAACCTAGTAGATCCCAAGACACTTGCAGCCAGAGCACTGTCAGCCCAGGAGAGTGTGGCAACAGCCAGGGAGCTTCCCAGTGGGCCTGTTATGTCTTTCCCACAAGTTCCATTTGTGACCCAAAAGAGTGTTTCAGAAAAAACAAACGTAGGCTGGCAGGGTGGGCAGAAGGGAAGAGGGGCACTTGGCAAGACGGTTAGAGGGATCACTGGAGTTGGGCGAGGTGGAAGCCAGAGCCCCATGTTTCTGCCTGGGAGTGTCCAAGTGGATCCATACCTCCCACTGTCTGTCCTTGCCTACTTTCCTCATCCAAGGGTTAAGCTTGGGGTCATGAGGAGGATGGAGGCTTTTAAGGAGGACATCCCCCTCTCTGGGAAACAGAGCAGTTGTGGGGAGGGAGCTGCACCGGGTAGGTGGGTGGAGTGCGGGAGATTTAGACTGGTTCCTGGAGACTAGAAAGAGAAAAGGATTCCCAAACCACCCAGTGTATCTGCTGGCTGTGTCTCTCTGGGGGACCCCAGGCACCCCAAGGCAACAGAAGTTTAAGAGAAATGAGGAAGTCTGAAAAATCTTGGGCCTAAACTCACAGAACCACGTGTTCAAGGAGCCCTCTACCCCTGCCCTCCATTCCAAGTCCTCTCCATGAAGTCAGCTCAGCATCACTTCCACGTGCTTAAGGAGCCCTCTACCCCTGCCCTCCATGCTGAGTCCTCTCCATGAAGTCAGCTCAGCATCACTTCTTTGGAAATCACTTCAGACCCAATTGTGACATTTGCCCCAGGATCTGCAGGGCTCTGGGAAGCACATTATTAGAGCACAGGTAGCAGAACCCTCCTCCTCTTGCCCAGGTGCAGTCACCTGTTATAAAGTTCCCAGCTTATGAATGGGGCCCTGATTTTCATTGTATTATGTACATTTTCCTTTTGAATCTAGGAGAGCCCCATCTCCAAGTATGCTAAAATGGGACTGAGATGCGAGATAATCTCTGAAAATCTCTTGGTTTCGTCGTAAATGAGCAGAGTCAATAACCCAGCCCTGCCCAGGCAGACAGCTCCACACACCCTCACACAGAGAGGCCTCTCCAGGCAAGTCCAAAGGCAGGACTCCTGGCGCTGGAGTCAGCACTGTAGCTTCCCTCTGAACCAAGCGCTGACTTAGAACTGTCTTTGCTTGTGTCTTTGCTCTGGCTGGAAGCACTGGGAGTGGATTCAGAGTCAGCCAGGCAGGTACATGAAAGCCTCAGCTTTGGAGGGAAATGGCTTGAGGGTCTTTCTGTCATGTGGTCTCCCCGCAGTTGAAGGGGCCCTGAATTCACATTTATCCATTTGGAGCCGGGGCACCTGAATGGACATTGTTAGCTTATGTTGAGTTGACCCCAACTCATGGTGCCTCCGTGCATAATGGAATGAAATGTTGCCCGGTCCTGCACCATTCTCACGATTGGTTGTAGATTGGACTATTGTGATCCATAGGGTGGTCACTGGGTGATTTTTAGAAGTAGATCACCAGGCCTTTCTTTCCGGTCCATTAAGATGGAAGCTCCGCTGAAACCTGTTCAGCATCGTAGCAACATGCAAGCCTCCACAGACAGACAGGTGGTGGCTGTGCATGAGGTGCAATTGCCAGGAATTATGGAAGGAGCTCTGGTGGTACAGTGGTTAAGTGCTCAGCTGCTATGCAAAAGGTAGGTGGTTTGAACCCACCAGCCGCTCCATGGAAGAAAGATGTGGCAGCCTGCTCACGTAAAGATTTACAGCCTTGGAAACCCTATGGGGCAAGTCTACTCTGTCCTACAGGGTCACTGTGAGTTGGAATCAACTCGATGGGAACCGGTGGGTTCTCCCTTATGGAAGGTGAGAATTCTACCACTGAGCCACTGGCAGGAATCCTAGCGATTCAAAATTTTTTATTATTTTTCTTAAAGAGGGTCCTCCAAAATTACATAAGCTTCAGACCTCACAAAGCCAGGATTCACCCTGTAGACAGACTGTGGGAGACCAGAGAGAGAGACAGAGAAGTCAATCCCTCGGGCTGCCTTCATTTCTAAGGAGTGTTCCAGTTCTCACCCATGTACTCTTACAATAAATCCCCTTCCCTAGGGTGATCTCAGTGAGTCTCTATTTCTGTGACTAAAACAGCCTGAGCCAGCACTAGGGTTTAGTGGTGAGATGAACTTTTGCTTTCAGTGGGAAGTCCCAGGTTGCTTCTGCCAGAACTTACACCAAGACAAGACCCTGGGACTGAGTCCATCCATCCAGGGAGAAGGCAGTGGCAGTAACTGAGTGCCTCAGAGGGAGCTTCCCCAGGGTCTGGGGCAGCTGCTCCCTACCAGAGCTACACCTTAGCTCTGGAGATTTATGTTCCCTGTGCAGTTCAAGCTGGCCCAGGCTCAAACTCACCTCGACTCCAGGGGTTAAAGAGCAGTGTGAACTGGCCCAGGGAGTGTGTCTTGTCCAAGACCTGCAGCAGGAGTGAGTATTTGCCAATAATGGCATCTGCAGGCGTCGTCACAGAGATAGTCCAGGACTGATCATCTCTCTCCTCCACATCCACACTCCACTGCTTTTGGTTCCTCAGGCTGGAGATGTCAAATATGGCTTGGGTCCTGTTGGCCATGGAAGGCTGCTCTCCTGCAGACACACAGTGATGTATCTGTCATTTGTCCTCTTGGCCACAACTCACCAGAGTACTAAAGTCAGGGTGTTACAAAGAGGGAGGAAATGCAAATTGGTTTTGGGTAGAAAGAGCATCCAGGAATATACCTATGGAGGCATGAAGGGTGATGGCTAAGAGCACAGGTCCTCAGCACCCATGGACCTATATCTATAAAAGATTCATAATCTAGAAAATGGGCAAATAATAGTACCTGCTTCATAGGGCTGATGTGAGGATTAAATGAGATATTGCATTAAAGTACTTGGCCCAAAATCTTACATGTAGTATAGATTCAATAAATAGTAGCAATTAAATGTTATAATCAACCTGGATTAGATCCTATTCTGGCTTTCTAGAAAGTTAACATGGTTGTGATAAAAAGGGACCTGCTTGTGATAATGCTGCTAAGCAACCTCTGAATCGTAATGTTGTTGTTGTTAGGTGCCGTCATGTCAGTTCTGACTCACAATGACCCTTTGTACAACAGAATGAAACACTGCCCAGTCCTGCGCCATCCTCACAACTGTTGCTATGTTTGAGCCCATTGTTGCAGCCACTGTGTCAATCCATCTCATTGAGGGTCTTCTTCTTTTTCCCTGACCCTCTACTTTACCAAGCATGATGTCATTCTCCAGCAACTGGTTTCTCCTGATAACATGTCCAAAGTATGTTGGATGAAGTCCCACCATTCTCACTTTTAAGGAGTATTCTGGCTGTACTTCTTCCAAAACAGATTTGTTTGTTCTTCTGGCAGTCCATGGTATATTCAGTATTCTTTGCCAACACCATAATTCAAAGGTATCAATTCTTCTTCGGTCTTCCTTATTCATTGTTCAGCTTTTGCATGCATGTGAGGCGATTGAAAATACCATGGCTTGGATCTGGTGCACCTTAGTCCTCAAAGTGACATCTTTGCTTTCTAACACTTTAAAGAGGTCTTTTACAGCAGATGTCCAATGCAATACATCGTTTGATTTCTTGACTGCTGCTTCCCTGGGCATTGATTGTGGATCCAAGTAAAATGAAATCCTTGACAACTTCAATCTTTCCATTTATCATGATACTGCTTATTGGCCCAGTTGTGAGGATTTTTGTTTTCTTTATGTTGAGGTGTAATCCATACTGAAGGCTGTAGTCTTTGATCTTCATCAGTAAGTGCTTCAAGTCCTCTTCACTTTCAGCAGCCAAGGTTGTATTATCTCCATATCACAGGTTGTTAATGAGTGTTCCTCTAATCCTGATGCCGCGTTCTTCTTCATATAGTGCAGCTTCTCAGATTATTTGTTCAGCATACAGATTGAATAAATATGGTGAAAGAATACAACCCTGATACACTCCTTTCCTCATTTTAAACCACGCAGTATTTCCTTGTTCTGTTCAAATGACTGCCTCTTTGTCTATGTACAGATTCCTCATAGCACAATTAAATATTCTGGAATTCCAGAATTCCCATTCTTTGGAGTGTTGTCCATATTTTGTTATGATCCACACAGTTGAATGCCTTTTCATAGTCAATAAAACACAGGTAAACATCTTTCTGGTGTTCTCTGCTTTCAGCCAAGAACCATCTGACATCAGCAATGCTAACCCTCGTTCCATGTCCTCTTCGGAATCTGGCTTGAATTTCTGGCAATTCCCTGTTAATGTACTGCAGCAACTGTTTTTTCATTATCTTCAGCAAAATTTTACTTGCGTGTGATATTAATCATATTGTTCGATAATTTCCACACTCCGTCGGATCACCTTCCTTTAGAGTGGGCACAAATACAGGTCTCTTCCAGTTGGTTGGCCAGGTAGCTGTCTTCAAAGTTTCTTGGCAGACGAGTGAGCGCTTCCAGCTTTGCATCCATTTGTTGAAACATCTCAACTGGTTTTCTGTCAATTCCTGGAGCCTTGTTTTTCACCAATGCCTTCGGTGCAGCTTGTCTTCTTCCTTCATTAATGTTCAATGTGTCAAATCTATTCCTGAGATGGTCTCTAAATTCAGAAGAAATATACTCAAGGTCATACTTTGGCTCTCATGGACTTGTTTTAATTTTCTTCAGCTTCAACTTGACCTTGTATATGAGCAATTGAGGTCTGTTCCACAGTCGGCCCCTGGCCTTGTTCTGACAGATAATATTGAGCTTCTCCATCATCTCTTTCCACAGATGGATTTGATTCCTGTATCTGCCATCCAGTGAAGTCCATGTGTATAGTCGCTGTTTATGTTGTTGAAAAAAGGTATTTGGAATGAATAAGTCATTAGTATTGCAAAATTCTATCATGGCATCTCTGGCGTCATTCCTATCACCAAGGCCATAACTCTCCAACTACAGATCCTTCTTTGTTTTTAACTTTTGAATTACAGTCACTAGTAATTATCAATGTATCTTGATTGCATGTTTGATCAATTTTAGACTGCAGAAGTTGGTAAAAATCTTCAATTTCTTCATCTTTGGCATTAGTGGTTGGTGCATAAAGTTGAATAATAGTCATATTAACTGGTCTTCCTTGTAGGTGTATGGATATTATCCTATCACTGACAGCGTTGTACTTCAGGCTGGATGTTGAAATGTTCTTTTTGACGATGAATGTGATGCCATTCCTCTTCAATTTGTCATTCCCAGCATAGTAGATCATATGATTGTCTGATTCAAAATGGCCAATATCAGTCCATTTCAGCTGACTAATGCCTAGGATATCAATCTTTATGTGTTTCATTTCATTTTTGACGACTTCCAATTTTCCTATATTCATACTCCATACATTCTATGTTCTGATTATTAATGGATGTTTGCAGCTATTTCTTCTCATTTTGAGTCATGCCACATTAGCAAATGAAGGTCCTGAAAGCTTTGCTCCATCCACGTCATTCAGGTTGGCTCTACTTTGAGGAGGCAGCTCTTCCCAGTCGTATTTTGAGTGTCTTCCAACCTGAGGGGCTCATCTTCCGGCAATATACCAGACAATATTCTGCTGCTATTTGTAAGGTTTGTGCTGGCCAATTTTTTCAGAAGTAGATCGCCAGGTTCTTCTTCCTAGTCTGTCTTAGTCTGGAAGCTCTGCTGAAACTGTCCACCATGGGTGACCCTGCTGTTGTTTGAAATACCGGTGGTATAGCTTCCAGCGTCACAGCAACATGCAAGCCACCATGGTAGGACAAACTGACAGATGAGAAGTGGTGAATCATAATAGGTAATACTTATCATCCACCTTTTCTCATGGCATCCTCACAACAGCCCTGCCAGGTGAGCGGGACTTCCTAGGGCCCAGGTAGTGTATGGGCCATTTGCCCCTTGGTTCCCTGAGGGGATGCTAGTGTGAGAACCCCCAGTACTGCTGCCGAAGGGTTCTAGGCCAGTCCCACTTACCAGTTTGTGCAATGAAGACCATCTCCTTCAGGGCAGGAAGAGTTGCACCAGCTGGAGCACGGAAGTGCAGTATGATGGTGAAGGGCTGCCCCCGCCTTACGATTAGGTCCTGGGAGCTGATGGCCTGGGTGTGGTGTTCCTCATTGTTTCTTGCTGCCTGGAAGTCACAACTCATAATACCCAGGGCTGTCATGGAGAAGAGAGAAATCATGGAGACTAGGTAAATGTGATGATGCAAGTAAAAGCAGAGTCTTTGGAGTCAGAGACCAGGATTCAAATCCTTGACTCAAGGAACCAGTTGTGCAATGTCAGTCAAGTAACTTAACCACTCTAACCTTCAGTTTTCTCTTCCTTAGAATAATTTTCTCTCCTTGCAGGGCTGTTATGAGGATTAAATGAGGTAATGTATATAATACCCTTAGCACAGTGCCAGGCACAGTTGTTAGTTGCTGGTGAGTTAGCGTCAACTCGTGGAGACCTTATATATAACAGACTGAAACGTTGCCCAGACACATGATGTTGTTGTTAGGTGCCATCGAGTTGGTTTCGACTCACAGTGACCCTTTATACAACAGAACGAAACACAGTCTAGTCCTGCGCCATCCTCACAATCATTGTTGTGCTTGAGCCCATTGCTGCAGCCACTGTGTATTTTGAGTGTCTTCTAATCTGAGAGGTTCATCTTCTGGCACTGTATCAGACAATATTCTGCTGCTATTCATAAGATTTTCACTGGCTAATTCTTTTCAGAAGTAGACTGCCGGATCCTTTTTCCTAGTCTGTCTTAGTCTGCAAGCTCATCTGAAACCTGTCCACCATGGGTGACCCTGCTGATATTTGAATACTGGTGGCATAGCTTCCAGCATCACAGCAACACACAAACCCCCACAGTACGAGAAAATGACAGACATGTAGGGTTAGATCCCATTAAATGGGACTGTGATTATTATTGTTGTTATTAATAAGAACAACGCTTGTTTTCATCGTTGACCTCCTTTTCTGGTCCCAGTCCAAAAGCAATGAATAAAATCCAGAATCTTGCCCACTCATACTCGTTTTTTCCTTAGAATACAATTAGAGAATTTTTAGAGTTGGTTTCAAAATCACTGAGTCCAGTCCTCATGTTTAACAGATAAGAGTGAGGACTGGAGAGTGGGTCTAACACATTTATAGGCTCATCAAGCCTACAGCACAGTGCAGCCCAGAAACACTCTGCAAGGAGGGGGCCAAAGAGTATTATGATAGCCTCTCAGTCAATTCTTATTTTAAAGAGGCAGGAAAACAACAGCAACAACAAGAAGGAATAGGTAAGTAAGAAGATATGTCTAGCAAGCCCAAGATGAGGCACAAGACTGAAACACACACACGCACGCCAAGTTTAGTTCCTCTTACAGCAAAGGAGTTGCTTGCTTTTCATTGCTTGGATGGCAGAAGGCCACTGGGGGCCTCCTTGGTCTGCAAGGCAGCCTGCAGTTTCTGTACTTGCTCAGCTGTTGGGAGGGAAAAGCCGTAGTTTTGCTTGCAGGCATGGAATAGGGTCTGACCTACTTCCAGAAAGTTTCTTACCCTGGTGGTAAAGTTCTTGAAGCTCCAAGACATGTCTTGGCAAATTCAGGATACTTCTACTTAGAATTTCCCTCAGTTCCCAACCTTTCTGGCTTAGAACTGAAGAATAGAGAGTAGGGATGAAGATAGAAGGAAAACAGCCCACCTGCTCCACTTTTCCTTTAATTAATGATGGAGGTGAGAGAAGGTGCCAATGATATAAAATTAGGGGAAAGGAACTGACAGTGATGAACATGAAGAAATGTGACAGCATGAATAGAAGGGAAGGGACTTCCCTGAACGTCTGGTTCTGGGCCCCCTGGGTGCTCCTTGTGCCCTTGCATCCCTGCTTCCCCACCAGTGGGTCAGTTAGGGCATTGCTATAGAGAAAATAGTCACAGTAAGGCTGGTATTTGTAAATTAAAGTAGAGCAGCACTCAGAAACCAAGAGATGGTTCCTCTCTGCCTAGCACAAAGCTGGTGCTGCGGCCCAGGATGAGCCCTGCCTCTGCAGACTGTGTTGGATCTGACTGTGGAATGGTGGGCAGTCATGTCCTGGAAGGGGTGTAATTTGAGCCTTGGTACAACTGAATCCCTGTGATGACCAAGTGTCACAGCAAGAGCCACTACTGAGAGTTCATTTGGACTTTGGTTCTCTGGAAGCCTTCCCTTGCCTCTTCTCTACCTGGCAAGCACCAGCTCATCTTCCAAGATCCAAATGCACCCGCCTGTGAAGCCTTCACTGACTGTTCCAGGCAGAGCCTTACTCTGAGTTCCCACAGTACTCTGCTCCACTCTTTTCAGCACTTATCCCACTTTAAAACAATCACCTGCTGTCATGGATTGAATTGTGTCCTCCCAAAATATGTATTAACTTGGCTAGGCCATGATTCCCAGTATTGTGTGGTGGTTCTCCATTTTGTGATCTGATGTAATTATCTTATGCATTGTAAATCCTAATCTCTATGTTGTTAATGAGGCAGAATTAGAGGCAGTTATGTTAATGAGGCAGGACACAATCTACAGAATTAAGTTGTATCTTGAGTTAATCTCTTTTGAGATATAAAAGAGAGAAGCTAGCAAAGAGGAGAGGGACCTCCTACCACCAAGAAAGAAGAGCTGGGAGCAGAGTGCATCCTTTGGACCCAGGGTCCCTGTGCTGAGAAACTCATAGGCCCAGGGGGAAGATTGATGACAAGGACCTTCCCCAAGACCCAACAGAGAGAGAAAGCCTTCCCCTCGAGTTGGCAGCCTGAATTTGGACTTCTAGCCTCCTAAACCGTGAGACAATAAATTTCTGTTTGTTAAAGGCTTCCACTTGTGGTATTTCTGTTATGGCAGCACTAGATAACCAAGACACCTGCTTACCCCTGCCCCTCCTCTCACAGTGTTATCATATCTGCATCCCCAGCCCCAGCAGTGCCTAGAACACAGATGCCTAATAAATGCTTGCTCAATCAGTGAATGGACATTGAGTAAACTTGAGACAGCCTTAGGAAAATTTCTCAAATGTACCACTGGCACCTCAGGCCTGTGTCTGTGCTGACAGAACCTTGCAGAGTTCCCTAAGGTCTTTGTGTCCTCTGAGTCTGAGTTTTCTTGCCCCATGTCTGCCTCTGCTCCTTTTAGTTAGATTCCCTGACTCCTACCTCCCCTTCTCTTCCATTTGGCCTTGAGGCTATGTTGCCCTCCTGCTTTCCCAGGGTCTTCTCCCATTTGTATCAACATCCAGTGAGGACAGTCACTTTAACACAGAGACTCCAAGAGGAATACTCTTCAGATGTTTCACTGATGTGTATGGTACTCTGCCCTTCCCTTCTCTGCTTTTCGCAATACCCCAACACTGCCTTATAAGGCACCCTTCAAGCCAAGATGTGCTGGTAAATGTTTAACAACCAGTTTGGGGGTGGCTGAATGAGGGAAGAGGGAGTCCTTATTTGTAGTGTTTGCCAATTTCTGTGATCTAAGTACTCCCACTATGGTCAATTTCAAGCTACTGATGTGATGTCACTAAATGCAAAGTTGTGAAAAGATGCGAAGTGCACACCGTTATATAGTATTTACACCTTGCAGATACAATAGTCATAAATAACTTCAAGAACATAGATAAAGGTACAATGTAGTAAAATAATTAGGAAGTGATGAGCTAGAGTACTTACTACCTTTGTTTTTAATATAATTCATTTACTTATAGATTTATACAATTTAAATTTTAATAATGACTGTTTAAGAACTAGTGTGCAAGATTCCTGAAAATTTAGCAATTGGTCTTGCAAGCCTGTACAAGCTGGCACAAACCAGCTCCAACACACCATGACCACAGAACTAACACTCAGTGAATACTATCTGGTGGCTAGGGGGTGCCCTGCCACTCCTGCCTAGAAAGAATTTGATGCCCTGGGGTGTTCTCTGGTTTGGGACTAGACTTGATTTTCTGATATCTTCAAATATGTCCCTCTGACCGAGTAGATTTTTAATTTGTCTAGGTCTGCTCTTATTTTTACAAGACTTAAGTGAGTTTATTGTCTGAATTTTCCCAGGGTTCTTTTTCTCAGGTTTTGATCTAATGGTCAATTGCCCTCCACATACCAGATAAGCCGACCAGGCCGGGACATGAGACAGCTTCTGTAGCAACAGAACCATAGCTGCTTCCCATCATCCTCACAATCTCCTCATCCCTCTACCTACCCACTTCCTTCCCCCCAGGACACAAAAGGGGCAGGTGATTTCACAGGCCAGGAGATAATAATTAATTTTTCTCTAGGGTGGTCTGACTCTAATGACTTCTGTCTTTTGACGATCCTGGGATGAAAATACAAATCCATGTAACCATCATCACCATCTCACCATCATTATCATGATGAAAACCACCAACTATCCCATTAACACTCCATAGCTGCACAACCATCACACCAACACCAGAACACTTAATCACCCCACACAACATAGTCACACAATCACACCACCACCTATATCAACTTACTGCCATCCCCACACGGTAGCCAACCACCATCAGTTCTACCACCACCAACACCCACTTACAGCACTCCACACCACAGCCACACCACCATCACCTCCACCACCATTAGCACCCACTCATACCACCCCGACACTACGGTCACACCATCACCTCCATTATTACCAGCACCCACTCACTACTACCCCCACACCATAACCACACTACCATCACACCAGCACCTACTTTCTACCACCCCTAACACCATGGCCACACCACCATCACTCAACCACCACCCTACTTCCTTTAATGAAAGCACATAAGATGAAGGGGCTACTGGCAGCCCAGTAAGCCCTGTGGAGAGCTGGCTTGGCTCACCCTGTCCCATGGCTACAGGCTGCTTTTATCCACTTGACCACAGGAAATGCCTGTCTTGGACTGTTGCTGCTGGGATCCTCTTTGAATCTGTCTTCCTGATAGAAGATGATGGAGATACTTTTGCTGGCTTAAGAATCTGTAAATAGTGGAGTTTCCCTCCACTCTTCCTGTGGGCTCTACGACGGGTGTCTTCTCTCCTACTCCCCCAACACTGGTATCTGTTGGACCAGCGGCTGGGAGTAACCCGTTTTCATTTTTATCTCTTGTGCCGGGAGGCCCAGGCAGGGGTATGACTGGCAGGTCTGGAGTAGGGGCTGTAGTGGGGAAAATTTTCTACCTGTAGAAGCCCAGGAGAAATCTCCATGTCTGTTTCTTAAGAAGTCTCAAGAGACCCTCAGAGACTTTTTCTGGGCAACACTGGAAGACCCTGCAAGAGATGGCTCCACAAAGAGGAGGCCCATATCCATCTCCAACTCTCAGGCCCTGAGCGTATCATGAGCCACAAGTCGCTAGATGTTCGTGGGCTGTTTTGATCATGTAAAGAGAGAACCATGTATGCCTGGGGATTAGTCTGTGTGAAAGAGATAAGGAGGTAGAATTTGTTGGTGAAAAATAAATGCCCTAAAGGCAGAAGCCAGGACCCCAGGTCTTCCAAGCCTACCTGGTCTGGGATACTTTACCAGAGAAGGCTTGTAACTACCTTGAGACTCAGAGCCTATGTCTTTTATATTTCTCCTCACTTAGTCACTGAGGAACCACAGGAGAGGATCTCGTACTTGGCCCTCTTTGGCCTTCTAAATCCCAGCTTTCCACTGAGCTCCTGAGACTGCATCAGCAGAAGCACTCTCAGGCTGAGCTGTATTTACCTGCATACATAAGGAATATCTATACCCATTGCTGTCAAATTGAGTCTGACTCACAGCAACCCTATAGGACATAGTAAAACTGCTCCATAGGGTTTCTAAGGCTGTAAATCTTTACGGAAGCAGACTACCACTGTGGCTAGTGGATTCCAAGTGCCAACATTTTGGTTGACAGCTGAGCGCCTAACCACTGTGCCACCAGAGCGCCTATGGAATATCTCTAAAAGGATATAAAAGAAAATACAAATAACATTGGTTGCCTGTGAGAGTGGAGCTGGGGGTGGAGTAAAAAGGTAATTTTTATACGTTTATCCTTTTACACTTTAAAAACTTTGAACCATTATACCCATTTGAAGAATCATATTATGTAAAAAAAATTTTTAAAAAGTGGGGGTGGGGGGAGAAACTGTTGCTCTCCCAACCCCCAAGAAAGAGTCTTCATTAGAAATGAAGAAGTAAAATTTTTTATTATTTGAATATGATATGATTTTTTTTTTACCTGGAAAACACAATGAATTCTACTAAAATTGACTATAAAAGATAATTTAGTAAGTTGGCTAGTACCAAAATTATAGAAGTCAATAGCTCTCATACCCAAAATCAACAACCAGTTAGAAAATATAATTAAAGACCAACTTAACAATAGCAACAACAACAATAAAAAATGAAATATCCAGAAATAAACTTAAGAAATGTACAAGGGCTATCAGGAAAAAACAAACAAACAAGCTTTGAAATGCTACTGAGAGACACAAAATTAAGACTTGAGGAAATAAAAAGACAAACTATAATCTTGGATGAGCTAATTCAGCATCATAGATGTCTCTTCTTCCCAAATTAGTCTTAAATTTAATGCAGTCCCAATAAAAAAGCCAACAAGATTTTTCTTTGAAACTAGATAAGCTGATTATAAAGTTCAAAAGGAAATTTCTAAAAAAGTAATGAAATATGACCAGCCTTCTAGATATTAAAACATAATATGACGTTACTATCATTGAAAAAGTCCATGGGCCAAAACGCATGCATTATTTATGTATATGCTAAATGTGGCACCTCGAATCAGTGAGGAAAATAGGGATTCTTCAGTAAATGACTCTGGGACACCTGCTGTTGTTAGGTGCTGTTGAGTCAGTTTTGACTCATAGTGACCGTGTACAACAGAATGAAACTCTGCTCAGTCCTGCACCATCCTCACAATTGTTGTTATGTTTGAGCTCGTTGTTGCAGCCACTGTGTCAGTTTATCTTTTGAGGGTCTTCCTCTTTTTCACTGATGCTGTACTTTACCAAGCATGATGTCCTTGACATTGTGATAAGTGTTATAAAAGAGAAATTCTGAGTGCTAGGATCTAGGTGTGGAGGTCAGGGAAGTCTTTCCTGAGAAAATGATATTTACACTGAGAAACATGAAGGATAAATAGAAGTCAGATAGACAGGGGGGCAAGGGGAAGGGTAGGGGAGGAGGAGAGAGAACAGCATGTGCAAAGGCCGTAAGGCAGGGAGCAATTGAAAAAAGGCCAGTGGGCCTGGAGTACAGAGAGTGATGGGGATAAGTAAGGCAGGGGATAAATCTTGCAGAGTTGAACTAAGGATTTTGGATCTGATCCTCAGAGCTATGGTAAGCCATTGAATAATATTTTGAGCAAGGAAGTAATATGATCAATTTGTATTTTTAAAATGGCCAATAAAAGACTACTGTAATGGTTCAGGAAACCCTGGTGGCATAGTGGTTAAGAGATACGGCTGCTAACCAAAATGTCGGCAGTTCGAATCCACCAGGTGCTCCTTGGAAACCCTAAGGGGCAGTTCTACTCTGTCCTTTAGGGTCGCTATGAGTCAGAATCAACTCACCAGCAATGGGTTTGTTTTTTTTTTTTTGGTTTTGTAATGGTTCAGGTGAGAGATGAAGGTGGCCTGGTCAAGGTGTGTTGGTGAAGTTAAAGGAGAACAGATTTGACAGAAATGTAGGAGATTAAATTGACAAGACATGCTAATAGACACGATTTGAAGGGTAAAGAAAAAGAAAGATCATCCAACATGACTCCCAATTTCAAATAAATTAATTATGCTGGTACACTGATTTACAAAGTATTTTCACATACATTACCTCCTATGATCTGAACTGCAACTTTGTAAATTAGGTAAAGGATCATTATCCCAACTTTATTAGTGAGAAAACAGGTTCAAGGAAGAAACATTTATTTTAATTAATTACATTTAATGAATGAATTAATGAATATATGCCTCATTCCAGAAAAATTAAAGAAGACTAACAAAAAAACATAATATTACAGAAGAACATATATTAAGTGATGTGAACAATGAACGATGAGTAGAAATGAAGATAAAACAGAACCAAAGATGAGGCTAAAAATGCACATCATAACCTACCTATACACATGTTGGCCACACACTAGAAATTTATCTCTAAGTTTTGGAGGAGTTGAGGCTTTCCCAAGACCTCACAGTTTATGTAAAGCCTGGATTCAAAATGCGGTCTTCCAGCTCAAACCCCATACGTTTGATTTCACATTAGCATGTAATCCAAATTACCACTGAGTTCTCTCTATTTAGTCTTCTTCTTAAATCTCTCAAAGACTTCTGCTTCTAGATATAGCAGACTAGCTTGATATGAACCCTCCTGCTGAGAACAACTGGAAAAGCTGAATAAAATATTTTTAAATATCTATTTGAAGCCAGCAAGGCAGCAAGAATTTGAGGGATCAAGATTTTGAAGAAAAGGGAAGCACAGAGAAATGAGCCTGACACTTAGTGCCACCTTTCCCTTTAGGGTACTTACTAATTCACAGTTGGAAAATGAGAGCCTGAGAATCTGAGCAAGTCTATGGCAGTTTCACAAGGCTGGAAAACTGGAGAATAAAAATTGGAGTTCCAAGGCCACCAATGAGGAGGGGGTCCAAATAAACACTCCAGGCTTTTAGTTGGGTCTCCTGAAGGGCTATACCCCAGGAGTAAGGGTGAGTAAGAAATAGATCTGAAATCAAGTTTCAAATCAGCCTGGGTTATGGTGCTCTGCCCCTACCCTAACTGTCTGCCAAAAGGAAAACTCTTTGGAGGACATTAGCATGATCCAGAGCCTGACATTATCTCTATATTTTTTCATATATGATACCCAACATTCAACCAAAAATTACCAGGTATAGCAGGAAATAAGACCAAATGACTGAAAACCTGGGGGGTGGGGGGTGGGGAAGACAATAGAAACAGGCCTACAGGAGATCTGGATACTGGAACTATTAGACACAGATTTTTAAAAATATGATTATTATATTCAAGAAAATAGATGACAACTTGTAGAATTTAAGCAGATGATTAAAATCTATCAAAAAGAATTAAATGGAGATATTATTGAAAAATACAATAGTGAAAATTAAAAATACAGTGTTCGAGTTTAACAACAGATTTAACCCAGTAGAAGAGAAGATTAGTGAACTAGAAGACAGATCAATAGGAAAGACCCAAAATAAAGCACAAAGAGGGAAAAATAATGGAAAATAAAGATCAAAGCATAAAAGACTTAAAGAAAAATTCTGTGTGAAATTGGAGTCCCAGAAGGAGAAGAGACAGAATGAGGCAGGAGAAATGTTTGAAGAGATAAAGCCAAGAATGTTTCAAAACAGAAGCCACCAATTTAAGAAGTACTAAGAACTCCAAACACAAAAAGAATTCCTCAAAAAAGAACTTGGTGGAAAAAAGAGAAGTTGGGGTGCTATTACCAAAGGAAGGGAGGTGAATGCTGGAAAGCCAAAAAATAAAAACAAATCAACAAGTGCCTATTATGGATTGTGTCCCTCCAAAATGTGTGTCACCTTGGCTAGGCCATGATTCCCAGTATTGTGTGACTGTCCACCATTTTGTCATCTGATCTGATTTTCCCATGTGTTATAAATCCCACCTCTATGGTGTTAACGAGGCAGGACTAGAGGCAGTTATGTTAAAGAGGCAGGACAATCTACAAGATTAGGTTGTGTCTTGAGCCAATCTCTTTTGAGATATAAAGGAGAGAAGTGAGCAGAAAGACATGGGGTCCTCATACCACCAAAAAAGTAGTGCCAGGAGAAGAGCGTGTCCTTAGGACCTGGGGTCCTTGTGCTGAGAAGCTCCTAGTCTTGGGAAAGATTGATGACGAGGACCTTCCCCCAGACTCAACAGAGAGAGAGAGCCTTCCCCTAGAGCTGGTGCTCTGAATTTGGACTTCTAGCCTCCTAGCCTGTGAGATAATAAATTTCTGTTTGTTAAAGCCATCCACTCGTGGTATTTCTGTATAGTAGCACTAGATGACTAAGACAGTGCCCGTTACATTTTTGTGCTTCAGGATTTTCCTCTATAAAGTGGGACTTACCTTGCAGGTCTGTTATCAGGATGAACTAATATGATCTGGGTCATGTGACTGGCAGGTGCAGGTGATTGATAAATGATAGATGATGCTATCAATTATGCTAATACCTACTGCAAGAAAGTGACGGTGAAAGGAAAATACACTGGATTTAGAACTAGAAGACCTGGGGTTGAGTCTCACTCTGCCATTTTCAGGCTTTCAGGCCTTAAACAAGTCACTTAACTTCCTCTGACTCTCGTTTTTCTCATCTATAGTATGGCGATAATAACAATACAGATGTTACAGGGGTTGTGAGATTTAAATGTATGGAAGCACTGTGTAAACTGCGAAGTGTGATACATCATACAGGATTAATAATTGCCACCTTCAAAAAGTCTCTACAAGTCTCTTTTCATGCCTGAGGCTGGACTGAGTGTTGTAAGAAGAAAATCATACTGAGTTCCACTGCGGCTTGGGGTTGGGGGGTTCGGGATGAGTCTGGATGTTTGCCTTGTTTATTACTCTCTATCCTAGAGGCCTAGAACATTCAACATATAGCTACTTAAAAATGTTAAATAAACGGATGAAAGACAACATTTGCATTACAAAAGGGCTTTAACCCAAAGAAATGACTAATGGGAATTGCAGGCTCCTATGGCAAACTAAGGAGCCCTGGTGGCACAGGGGTTAAGTGCTCGGCTGCAGGTTGGCAATTTGAATCCACCAGCAGCTCCACAGGAGAAAGATATGGCAGTTGGCTTCCGTAAAGATTTATAGCCTTGGAAACTCTATGGGGCAGTTCTGCTCTGTCCTGTAGTGTTGCTATGAGTCAGAATCGACTCAACACCAGTGGGTTTTTTTGAATGGCAGACCAGAATGCAATAGCCCTCTAAGTGTATCTCAAATCACATAAAGTTTACCCTGACTCTGCAAAATTGAATTAACCCTGAACACTAACATTACAGGTGGTGAATGTAATCCAATCCTCAAAGGAAATAGATGCCTGAAGACGAGTGTGTTCCAAACTCCTTACACTACCACCTGGGGGTCTTCACCACCTGGCTCTTGTCTCATTTTTTTCTGCCACCAGCTTCCACTCACTCCGATCTCTAGCCACCTGAATGACTTGCAGTTCCCCATTGCTTTACCTCATGCCCACCCCTTCCAATCATGAGTCTTTATTTGGGTAACTCCGAGTCTTTTAGCTTTCAGTGTAAGCAGCACTTCCTCCAGGAAGCCTTCCTTGGTCCACGACCCCAAGCCTAGTTGGTTGTCCCCCCTTCTGCTCCCACAACACCTTGGACTCTCCCCAATGGTGGTTCTTACCATTCTAAGTTACAACGTCCTGCTTGTATTTCAGTCTTCACACACTTATACTTGAGCTCCTTGAGGGCAGGTGCTGGTCCTTTTTGTGTTCTCAGTACCTGGACCAGGGCCTGGGCCCTAGTAGAAACTCCATAAATATTTGAGTGAGAAAGTTAATGAATGTGGTGTTAAAACCAGGGTTCATGAAAGAGTTGGAGGATGTGGTGTCTAAACTCTTCCAAGTACTTCAGAAGTCATTATCTCTGTAAGGTGTTCACCTCCATGGTGTTTTCCTTAAACCATTTTTCATGATTGACAGGTAATAATTACAGGATGAAATAACCATAGGTTGCTTCCAGCTCCCTGCCACCAGATCCTGGTTCTCAGCACGCTCTTAACAGGACTATCAACCTACTACGTAATTCCTACCACACCCTTGTCTCTCCCTCTGCACTTGGCCTTTTGCTTATGTACAATGGAAGTATTTAACTTCTCTATTTAATGTATAATGGAAGTATTTAACTTCTTTATTTAATGTGTGCGCGTTTAATGTATGCCCTAAACAGCTGTCTCAGTCACATAGCCAACACCTGGAGGGCAGGTGCATCATGCCTTCCCCATCCAGATCTTTGTGCATTGAGAAAGCAGATGAATCCCAAGAGTAGATAATGATTGGCATTGCTTTGTGTTCAGTAGGACCCAGAAAGTGTGGAGTTTGAATTAGCGTAAACACAAGCTGCAATCAGTGGAAAAGTCTGAGAGTACCTCATTCCCTACCAAAATCCTACGTCATGGCATTATTCAGCTGGCTTTATCTCCTGGACCCCAGTCATCCCAACTCCATCAAGGACCACAATACACTGGTGGACGTTGAGCAAAGAGGCTGAAGTATTAGGACTGATAGACTTTATGGATCTGATATGGGAAGGGATTCAAAGGAAGGTCAAGTGTGAGACATTGCGCAGGCTTTTTCCCAAGACACAAATTGGTCGGTAGTACATGAGAGCACCTACAGATGTTGTTTTTCTAACTGGATTGTGACTATCTGTAAGTATCTTACTTATTTGTTGACATGTTTATTGTCTGTATTCCCCCCACCCTACTAGAATGAAAGCTCCACAAGGGCGGGATCTTTGTTCTGTTTACTGCTTTATCCCCTACTCTCGGGAGCACATACTACGCACCTAAAACAAACAAACAAAAACCAGTTGCCATTGAGTTGACTGATTCATGGCAATCCCATGTGTGTGAGAGTAGAAATGTGCTCCATAGGTTTTCAATGGCTGATTTTTAGGAACTAAATTGCCAGGCCTTTCTTCCGAGGTGCCTCTGGGTGGCCTCCAACTGTCAACCTTTTGGTTAGCAGTGAATGTGTGTCAACTGTTTGCACCACCCCGGGACTCCTAGGCACACAGCAGGCACTGAATATTTCTTGAGAGAATGGGCTCGGGCATTGAAGCAATAGGACACTCCCGGCATCCAGGAAATAATTGGGAGCTGCTGTAAGAAAAGTGATAATTACAGGGGGTGAAGGAGATCAGAGCAAGGACTCAAGTTTATTGGTACTAAGGAACTAGCCATTGCATCAACAAAGCTGCTCGGCAAGTCTTCATCTTTCCTTGACCTCCGGGGGCAGTAAGTCATGGTCAAATCCAACCAGTGTCCTCTGAGCTCTGTGCCATCTCACACTTCTGTATGGGACACCGGGGAATCCCTGGGCTCCGAACAGAGTCCTGGGTGGATGTGCAAATGGCTCAGGGAGCTATCCATCCCGGCATCCCCTCTTCTGCTCCGCTCAGAGCCCTGTGAAGCCTCTGTTGTGATGGGAAACGGAACAGCTTACATTTGAACTTGCTCCTTTTCCTGAAGCTGGAAATTGATACACCAGCTATTGCCCCAGAATTTATAACCCAACGCCTACATATACATTTCTGTAACCCTTGATGTCCTTAAATTTGTTGCTCCTCAGATTAGCTTGGATCTGCCTTTGACCACTCTTGAAGGGGACAGTCTCCAGAGTGATGCTGGCCTGATGCTGGGGTTTGAGGATTCCGATGCTGCAGCAGACAATGGAGAATGTAAGAACAATGTAGGCATTATGATAGCCCCCAACCCCTTTCCCACTCAGTACCCTGGTTTCTCCTTTCCCCGGTGTTGTCATAGCCTTGTCTGTCCAGAAAAAAGGACAGAGTTGATCCCTGGATAAAATGGGAGAGAAGCCGAGGACACCCAGCACTTACAGGATTCTTTGCTGCTTCTTGAAGAGACCGCTGCCTTCCACCACCAGCATACAGTCCTCAGCATGCTCTAAGAGGGGGTTTGCAAACATCACCTGTATGGAGAGTGGCTGACCCACGACGGCAGCTGCTAGAACCTACATAGAGAGACGCAAAGGAGAAGGGAATTCATCCTCATTCACCAGTTCACTGAGGGCCTACTGCATCTCAGGCACTGGTTCCTAAACTGTTTACAGAAAGCTGGACTTCCTTGAGCTGTATTTTTCCAACTGTGGGTTGAATCAAGTTAGTGAGCTGTGACCAGGATTTTGAAAACTGAAATGAAATAGACGAAAATATCAGAATGCATCCCACAAGATAAATGCAAGTATTGTTATGTGAAACTTTTGTTTCTTGTTGTGTGAAACTTTGTTTTGGTGAGACAAGTATGGATGTTTGTGCTGAGTTGTGATGTAAAACGCGTTACACCGTTCAACTCGGGATGGTAAAGTCTCAGGAATTGGGAGCTTCTAGTCATATTTCCTCGGCTCCAAGGATTTCATCCAAGTGTGACAGAATCCAGAACTTCCAAAGATTCTTCTGTATAATTTGAGGGGATAGACTCTTCTTGGGCAGTTTTTGTTTGTTTCTTCTTATTGCAATTCTACCCCATCCCTTCACTTCTTCCTATCCTAACAGGCTCATTTCCGTTCACCCCAGTGCATGAATGGAGAACAATGGGTCGTTCAGGGCTGTAGAAAGAGGGAAGAAGCCTCAGGAAACCTGGACCCTCTTTCGACCAGTTGCCATGGAGTTGATGTGACTCATGAGGACCCTATGTGCGTCAGAGTAGAACTGTGCTCCATAGGGTTTTTGAGGGCTGACTTTTTGGAAGTAGATTGCCAGACCTTTCTTCCGAGGTGCCTCTGGGTGGAATCCAACCTCCAACCTTTCGCTTAGCAGCTGAGCACCTTAGCCGTTTGCACCACCCAGGGACCCTGCACTTTTCAAATGGACTTCAGCATCTGGGTTTGCCACATTTACCCCACCAGGGGGCATCACTGGCTCAGCCACGCCTTCCTATTCAGAGGACCACCGAATGTGAGAGCAGGAAGGGTCCTCAGAGGCTACCTTGTCTAATCCTCTCTTTTCACAGTTCGAGAAGCAGAGACCCAGGGGCCTGTCTAAGGATGTACAGCCAGCAAAGGTTAGTCTGAGCTGACCTTTCAGATAGAGTTGTTGCCCCCACCCGGGCCCCTCCCGTTTGAACTCATAGTTTCTACTGTTGGCCCTGGGGGAGGCTAACAGTGAGAGATGGCTCAGGAGAGGGAGGCCTCCCCACCTCCCCACAGCCCCTGCTCAAGGATCCACCAAAAGACCTCTAGTGGTACAAGAGGATTGAGTGTTTTCAGATAAACCTGCCGTCCCTGGTAGGGCGGTAGCTGGGGGCACCAGAAGAGGCAGAGGAAAGAAAGGTCTCTGTTGAGCCCATCCAGGCTGCCCTCCCAGAGACTCCACCCTCTCCAGCTGGGTCCCAGGAAGCACCCCCTCCCCAGCCATTTGCAGGACTCTTGCATACATTAATCACGATGCCAGGATAGGCCAAAGTGATTATCTTGTCCACCAGCACCTTCTCAGGGCAGCTCATCTCCTCGCCCAGGGCACTGAGGCGGATCAGCTTGTCCGTTGACAGGTACTGGCTGTACTGGGAATAGGGGATTTTGCAGTGATGGGTCTTTGCTAGGGAGAGAACACAAGGACGAGGTGAGAGCAGCTGGGGAAATCAGCTGGGGCTGGGTTGGATCTGGGGGACTCTTCTGTGGAAAGGAGGAAGCCAACATGTTCTGAGCCCCTGTGAAGCAGGGAATAGCTTTTCAGACGGAGAGACTGAGGCTAAGAGAGGCTAAATGGCTTGTCCACAGTCATTCTGCTAGTAAGCTGAGGCTCTAACCAAGGTCTGATGACTCCAAAACTCAGACTCTTGCTGCTAAACTAGGCTACTTTCCTTAGAGTAATGAAGGGGAGGGAGAGGAGGAGGAGCCTGTGCCAGAGAGAACAGTAGGTAGGGAGGTGTCAGAAGGTACATAACCCGCTCTGTGGACACACTCTGCCCCCACACCCATGCCCAGAGCCCATACCTTCTTCAGCGGAGAGGATGATGAACACCGTGTCCTGCCAGAACGGGGGCAGAGGGCTGCCATCATGCAGCAGGGACTGGGCACTCAAGTTCACCTTGAGGTCCTTGAACTGGTACGACATGTTGTGGGCCAGCAGGGCAAAGCTTATGTCCTGGCCCATGTTGGGTGGGTCGAGAAGCTTGAATTTCAGGGACACCTGGATAACATCTCTGGGTCGAAGGGAAGGTGTGTCCAACCTTCGAGGGCTGTCCTGGCTCAGTGTCATCGGCCTGGAAGGTCGAGGATCTCCTTGGTGGGGACCTTGGGGCCTTCCAGCCCTCAGCTTCTGAAGAGCCTTCAGAAACACCTGCCTCTCCTGGGTGGAACCTGAGAGGCAAGAGTACAGCACCAGCTGTGGGCCAGGCTGACCCAGCGGATACGCCTCGGCTGAACAGCCCCCCCGCCCCCGCCAACACCTGCACTTACACCAGCCATGTCTGCAGGGGCCTCGAGACCTACATTTCCAGTGATAAACATGTATTGCCATTCATTAAGTGCTTCGTAAGTGCCAGGTTTTGCTGAGCACTTTGTACCTTTAATCCTTGTGTCAACCAAGAGAGACATGTATTATTACTGTTATTATTATTATTTCACAATATAGATGAGGAAACTGGGGCTATGAGGGGTCATGTCACTTGCCCAAGTCACACAGTTGTGATTTGGAGTCCAGGTGGAAACCAGACCTGCCTAACTCTAAAACCTGTGCCCTTGACCATTCAACTCTACCCAGCTCCCAAAGAAAAGACGAAGGCTCACAAGTGTGAAAGAATAAACCTCTTAAAGAGAGCAGGCCATGATGTTCCTGTTCCATAACCAAATTACTGGTTAGATGGAGGCTAATTCCTGAAAACTGAGAAGCAAAACAGAGGCAATGGGAGTTGTCTGAATGGCCCAGGTCTTCCTGCTCAGTTTTGGGAGGGAGGGGGCCGGGGAGGTGGCCCTGTGGGCAGGATGTGCAGGGAGACTCTCCCATGCTTCTCTAATGGCGCCAGCAGCTGCCTTTACTGAGACTGGCTCCACCCCACAGTGCATTCACCACGACCTCCCGAGGCAGAGGCGATTTTTATCTCCTCGCTCTGGGGGTCCTTCTAACTCCAGGTCCCGGCTCTTGAGACATTTGCTGCAGTAAGCATGGGCCCAGAGAGATGCAAATTGGATTTAGCTATCTGTGGTCAGGTAGACCCCCAGATTCTGTCAGGCTGGATGGGACGGGTCAGAATACTCCTGGCCCTATGAGCCACGGCTGAGCAGGCCACTCAATCCTGCCAGAATGTAACTCCAGACCCCTCCAAACCCCTCTGTGGAGGTCACAGCAGAACCCCATGGACCTCTGTAGCAAGCGCTATCGATGCCCCACCACATCCTCTTGGATTTACCACGTCAGTGCCCACAGGCCCTACTTTCAAGTATTAGCACCTGTGATCCTTTGTCTGAGGCTTTCTCTGCCTCCAGAGCTCACGCAGCCATGCGTGGGGCAGAACAGAAGTGCTAGGGAGTTTACACTGCCCAGGAGCAGCCTCAGCCAATGGCTGACAGGAGTGGGTGAACAAATACCCTAGCCCCTTGCCTCTTGGTGGGGTAAATCTGCAATGTTCTACATTTTACACTGTTTCCCAGGTAGAGTTGCTAGATTTAGTAAATTCTCTTGGTAGTCCCATGTGTTTCAGAGTAGAACAGCACCGTAGCGTTTTCTTGGCTGTAATTTTTATAGAAGCAGATTGCCAGGCCTTTATTCCACTGCAATGCTGGCTAGGTTTGAACTGCCAACCTTTAGGTTAGTAGTCAAGTGTAAACCATTTGCACCACCTAGGGGCCTTAAATAAAAATGCAGGGCCAGTTAAATTTCAATTTCAGACAAACAACAAATAATTTGAGACATACTTATACTAAAATATTACTAATCCTGCAGTTTACCTGGCAACCTTACTACCAGAGTTCCCCAGCAGGATTAAGCTCCAGCTGTCCGTAGTGCTAACAGGCTTGATTAAAAAAAAAAAAAAAAAAAAAACCATTGCCCAAGACACAGCTATTGGTCTGTACGTGTCCAGAGTTAAAGAGAATGAAGGAAACCAAAGGCTCAGAGAAGAACCTAGTCCGCAGGACTAATAGTCTACATGAACCACGACCTCATCTACCCTGAGACCAGAAAAACTAGATGGTGCCTGGCTACCAATACCAATCGTTCTATCAGGAACACAACGAATGGATACTAATAGAATGAGACCAAAATGTGAGACAGAACTCGAATTCTTAAAAAGTCCAGACTTACTGGGCCAGTTGAGACTGGAGGACTCCCTGAGATACTCTTTAAACCTTGAACCAAAACCATTCCATGAGGTCATCTTTTAGCTAATTAACAGATTGGCTCATAAAATAACAATATCATTCATGACTACTGTGCTCCTTTAAAAAATCATCTATATAAGACCAAACATCTGCTTAAAAGCAAAGATGAGAAAGCAAAGGGGCAGAGAAACTAGATACTGGAAACAGAACAACCAGAACGGAAATAATCAGAAAGTTGACGCACTGTGAAAAATATAACCAATGTCATTGGACAAAGTGTGCAGAAATTGTTAATGAGAACCTAATTTGCTGTGTAAACTGTCACTGAAAACAATAAAATATTTTAATAATAATTTAAAAAAACCCTGTTGGAACATTTTTCTCCTGCGGAGCAGCTGGTAGGTTCGAACCACAGACCTTTCAGTCAGCAGAGAAGCACTTAAATACTACACCACCAGGGCTCCTTAACAGGCTTGATACCAAAGAACCAAACCAAGTGCTGTCGAGTTGATTCTGACTTATAGTGACCCTATAGGACAGAGTAGACCTGCCCCATAGGGTTTACCAAGGAGAGGCTGGTGGATTTGAACTGCCCACCTTTTGGTTAGCAGCTGTGCTCTTAACCACTGTGCCACCAGGGCACCAACAGGCTTGATAATGCCCCCCACACCCCCATATTGGCGTCTTTCCCTTCCCTGTCTCACTTCCTCACGCTCCTACCAATACTTACTGGAAGTGCCTCACAAATAAACCACTTGAATCCTTGTCTCGGGATCTGTTGCTGAGGCAACCCAACCAAGACAAGCCCCAGTGTCAATAGGGAGTGGAGGGTCAGGTACTGCTGGGCTGTGTTCAATGCCTGTCTTGCATTGTGTATCTCCTTCCTAGATCTGGATTCTGGAGCTTCTGAGTCTGCCCCGAAGACCCACATAGAAAAACCAGACACCCACTTAGCAGTGTTCCCAGCAACTGCTCTCTACTCCCCATCCCCTGCACACATTCCCGACTTGCTCTTGCTCAGATGCTGCCCCTGCCCCTTCTGGCTCTCATGGACTGGATATTTTGATTGGTTCCCTGGTGGTTGGCCTTTCTCAATTTCCAGGAGTTAGTCTATACCTGGGGCCCTGGTAGCGCAGTTCAAATCCACCAGCCACTCCTTGGAAATCCTAGGGGGCAGTTCTACTCTGTCCTATAGGGTCACTAGAGTTGAAATCAACTCGACAGTAATGGGTTTGGTTTGGTTTTTGGTTAATCTATACCTAGTCCCTAGGTGGGACAAATAGTTACCAGTAAGCATGTGTCTACTGACCGAAATGTTGGCAGTTCAAACTCACCCAGAGGCGCCTCAGGAGAAAAAAAACGCCTGGCAACCTACTTCCAAAAAAGCAGTCATTGAAAACTCCTTGGAGCACAATTCTACTGTGATACACATGGGCCGCCATGAGTCAGAATCAACTTGGTGGTAACTGTTTTTCTCTTTTTAGTCTACACCTGACCAACTTAGCTGTCCCTTTGCTGCTGCTGGTTTAGGACTCTCACATCTCAGAACCACCTCTGACATGCCCAGCCCTGGCAGCGAGCGGGACAGGGTAGGGTGAACACTTTGGCCTTACCTCAGCCTCGGTGCTGGCTGGTGGTCTGGCCCGTCCTCCAAATATTCAATACAACACAATTAATTAAAAAATAAAGTAATTAAATTCATTAACTAGAGAGAGCTCACTGAACCCTCTGTCTTCAGCAGAAGGCTGATTTTTCTGGAAGGCAGGGGTGAGGAATTTGTATACTGTTGGTGGACATCTCTCAGTGGCCCTGCAATCAACATGCACATCTTGTGGAGTGGCCCAGAGGGACATGCTAGCCCCTGGGATGTGGGGTGGTGGTGGGCATGAGGAAGTGAACAGAGGGGACACCCCAAACTGGGACCTTAAAGCTGTGTTCCTGCCCCACAGAAGCTCTCTGGCTCCACAGAGTCCTGCCCTAGCTGTCTGTGGCCACAGGATTTGGCCTCTGAGTAGGGCTGGATTGGCCATACCTTCTTTGTACTTGTAGTTCTCGGTAATGTCATCCCGTTCATCACTCTGGATGCTCTTAGTGCTGATAAAATTGCCGACAGTATTTGTGTCCCGGTGAAGTCTCTGCTCCTTCCCTCCATAGACAAGCCAGGACATGCAGTCAGCGTTCACCATGGAAAAGGCGAAGGGCGTGTCGTAGTTCAGGTCCACTTCCCCCTCTTTGATGGCTCTGACAGAGGCAGGGCCGCAGCAGTAGAGGCCTGAGGAGAACAGAAGAGCCTCGATGGGATTACAGAGCCAGACAAGGCCAGGCAGGGGCAGGGGCAGCGTCTGTGGGAGTGGGTTCTGCCTTCCTTCTGGAGCCTCACCGTTGCTTGTCTCCTGAGGTGTGGCGTCCACCACCTGCCAGCCTCCATATCCAGGAGGGAGGTCCTTTCGGGCCATCCAGCACTCGTTCCAGACATGGAAATTCCTGAGAGAAACCAGAGCAGTCAGTGTCAAACGAAGCTAAGGGGAGAGGCTTTACTGCTTGCCTTCCTTCTAGAGCAAGGCAGAGGATAGATGAGTGGATGAAACGTTAGATAGAAAGGCAGACAGACTTAGGACACCACAGGGCCTCAAGCCTCGGTAGTTTGAATAGCAATGGAACTTCTTTCTGAGAGCCTCAGTTTGCCCCCCAGAAAAGAGATTTCCTCTGCCAACTCTGAATGTGAATGGAGAGTGAGGGATTCCAGAGTCAAGAGAAATTAAGAATACTTCACTGTCTCTCTAAAAAGTCCTTGGGGCTCTTTTGGTCTTTGTGTCTGGAGGTAAGACTTCAGCCTCCTGTGGTCAGAGCTACAGGCTGAGAGTTAGATGAAGGAGGCAACAGAGGAAATCCTCAACCCTGGGCGGAGCGCTCTGAAGTGTGAGGCTTCTAAAGCCCAAGACATTGGTTTTTTGTTGAGCTGTCCCTCAGCCTTAGGGTTGGGGACACCAAGCACTGGGGCATGGGGAAGCCGGGTGTAGGAGATGAGTGGGGCACCAGCTCCTGGACACAGGCCCACCCTAATTCCTCTAGGGGGTTTTGGCTCTGATCGGAGGTGTCTCTCACCAGACAGAATCCTTCTTCTTATTCTCCAGAATCCTGCCTGTGTTGTCATAATACTCATCTATGGTCAGGTTCCCATCTGTGTCGTGGCCAGAGTCAAAGTTGGTGATCACGCGGGTAGGGATCCCCAGGCACCTCATCACTGTAGAAAGAGCAGAAAACCTCCTATGGGCTGTGCACACAGGAGCTCTGTGGCTTCCTGGACTCGGGCCCTGGGCCGAGGGAAATCATTCCCTGGGGAAACCATCGGCATCTGCAGGACGGGGCAGGAGCTGTCTGGGGCACTGGGTTGGTGACACTTCCAACCTCCACCTTCCTATGCCCCTCTCCCTGAGCACGTGGGAGAGACTCCGTGCAAAGATTAGGAGCCTGGTTGCTCAGACAAGCACTCCCAAGGCCAACAGAAAGTCCAGGAAGCCATTGATTGTCCTGCCCTTGCCAGCAGGGTGGGGCAGGCATGCTTCCTTTGGCAAGCCTTGGCCTCATTCTCTCCTGGCTGAAGGATCTCCATCTTCAAATCAAATAGCTGGACTTCAGTTCCTTCCTGTGGTTGGGATCGCTGGCTGAGACCATCAGAGTCTCGGGCAGAGAATTCTGCGGCTTTTATTCCTCCTATTCCATGGGTGTATAATCTTGGAAACCTCTCAAGAAAAGTATTACAAATCAATCCAGGAAGGGAAGGAAACGTAACAAAGGCGTAGACAAGTGAAGAGTCGGTACCTGGTGGAGAAATTCTTGAAAGGAAGTAGAAATTTGTCTTTATTCCTGAGGGGTCGGTCATCCCTCAGGATGTGGTCGGCTGTACTTCCTCCATTCTGCGTTCTTTAAATGCGACAACATCCCCAGCTCATCCCACCACCAAATGCCCTAGGGATTCCTGTCCCCTCAAGTCCAGCAGTGATGACCCAACCAGTTCAATAACAACAGTAATAGTTTTTACCAGTCAGGGATGGTGTTAAGTGTTTCACATACGTTATCCTCAGGATGAAGAGCTGTGGTGGCACAATGGTTAAGTAGCTTGGCTGTTAACCAAAAGGTCGGCGGTTTGAACTCACCCAGAGGCTCCATGGGACAAAGACCTGGTGATCTGCTTCTGAAAAGATTACAGCCAAGAAAACCCTATGAGGCAGTTCTACTCTGTCACATGGTGTTGGCTATAAGTTGGAATTGACTCAATGGCACCTAATAACAACATCCTCAGATCAACTGCTGTTATCATCCCCTTTTCAAAGATGAGGAATCAGAAGCTAAGAAGAGTTTTCTACCTGGCTAAGGTCACACAGCTAGTAAGCAGCAAAGCTGTCACTCAAATCCTGGTCTCACTGCCAATACTGTGCTCTTAATATGGAGTCCACCTCTGAGTATTGTGCACACAGTTGAACATTTTAGTACTGTCACTTCACTGTACATCTTCAAGGAGCCCTGGTGGCACAGTGGTTAAGCACTCGGCTGCTAACCGAAAGGCTGGCGGTTTGAACCCATCAGCTGCTCCATGAGAGAAAGATGTGGCAGTCTGCATCCGTACAGATTTACAGCCTTGGAAACTCCATGGGCCAGTTCTACTCTGTCCTATACGATCACTATGAGTCAGAATCGACTCAACGGTAGTGGGTAGTACATCCCAGGCATTTTCTCACTGTTATCAAATATTCACCAAAGCAAGGTTTCTACTGGCAGTTATTTCTAGCTGGTTTTCAGTTTTTTTCCCCTGTTGTAAATAATGTTGGGATGAATATCTTAGTAGATAAATCTTATTTTCTTGGAACATGTTCCAAGAGGTGAAATGACTGAGTCAAAAAGTGTGGATATTTCTAAGGGGTCTTGACACATACTACTGTCATTTGGTTTGGTTTCCAAAGTTTAGGGTTTTTAGCTTAAATATTTATTTATACTACACATTTAATGGCTTATAGTTTATAGTTGAGGCTCTTTTTTATTGTGCTAAATATATATGTAACAAAACATTTGCCATTCAGCATTTTTTACATGTGCAATGACATTAATTATGTTCAGCATGTTGTTTGATCATCACCATTATTCTTTGCACAAAGCTTCTCCAGGTGGGGACACACCCCTGGATGTGGCCCAGGAGAGGGAGGAGAGAAGTACAAAAGGGAGCTGTGAACTCTCAAGTGGCAGGTCTGGACAGGGCCAGAGAACTCGGGCAGGGAGTGGGCAGAGCTGACAAGTGGATTGTAGGTGGAGGTGACACAGGACAGCCTAAAGGTGAGGGTGAAGGTTGCAAAAGCAGCCGCTGAAGGAACATGAGGCAGGAATGAGGCAAGAGAGGGATTCCAGAATGTTGCATGGGCACAAACGGGAGGGTGGATGACACTCACGGTAACAAGAGACCGTGCCAAGGAGGGCTGGCAGGGAGAGCAGGGAGCAAGCCTCCTCCCATTCTTCACCCTGACTTATGAATTCACCAACAGCCACTTGAAGTGTCAGTGGTGGTGTCAACTCGTGCTAACATGGTTTGATGGGCACTTTTCCACCCTGGCACAGGTAATTGGTCTCATAGCACTTTGAAGCTCTCTATTAGACCAGATCACGTGGGCTTGAAATTATTTGTTTATAAGCCTGTCTTCCTGAGGGCAGGAATTGTGCATTATTCATCTTAACTATTATACAGCCATCAACAATACAGGCCAGGCCTATTGCAGATGCTCAGGGCATCTTTGCTGATGACTGTGAACGAATAATTTCTCAGGAATCTTTTGCCCATTCAGGGATTTCCAACTTTGGCACAGCACTAGTGGCTGAGGGCTATGCCTGGGTACCAAGCTTGGCTGTCAGTGGAGCCTAAGGGTTGATGATGGATTTGTACTGATGCATTCTCACTCTTTACTCATGGTGGCTTGTGAGCAGGGATGGAGGCAGCTTGTCACAGTGGAACAGAATGAAGCTACAGAGGGGCAAGAATGGTTTCTTACAGACAGGGTGAAGCCAAGGCTTTAGCTTCGACATCATACCAAGAAAAGGAGGAGCAATCAGATTTGTGCAGCCAAAGTCCTGCACATACGGGTTTACAGGGGCCTTCCGCCTCTGTCCTTCTTGTTCTGTCTTCCCACCAAAAGCTCATCCTGTCTTGTAACTTCAGCCCTTACTTCTGAGCCCACGATGCTGAATGGGCATCTTGAGCCTGTATGGAGGCTTCACTGTCACTAAACACATCCCCGACTGAACTTGTCTTTCGGTCTAAACCAGTACTCCTTCCCAACCTTCCACTCCAGTCAACAACAGCGTCACCATCGTGGGTGCCAGGCATGGTGCTAAGCACTGTGCAGGCATTATCTCCCATAATCCTCTCCACAACCCTCTGATTACTCTGACTTTAACGATGAGAAACCTGGAACTTAAAAAGGTTGAGGTCACGTGGCAGAAAGTGGGAAGCCAGGGCAGGACTTGAGCTCACGTTTCTTTGATCTCAAAGCTTTTAACTACCAGGCAGCAGCACCGCAATGTTACTGGACCTCCAGCAGTCGTGTGATGTTCTCGTCAACTACTCCAGGCCATACTTATCTCCTTGTGCTCTCTCATAATCCCAGTTGCCTGTGCCACACACATCTCCATGCTGGACTAAGTTCTCTATGATTGCATACTTTTGTCTTAGCTGGTCAGTCAGATTATAAATCCCCTAGAGTACAGCACATACCAGATACTTTCCTTGCATTTCTTCATTCCAGCTTAGTGCTAGGCACAGAGTAGATGCTCGTTAAATTTCTGTTGAAATGAGTTGGCCTCTGTGAACAAGGTTTCTCCAGACTATCAATCCTAGTGACTCACAGTTTGACATAGGACTTGTGTTACTCATTGATAATTTTGTGAGAGCTGATTCCCTCAAAAATAGAAATCCATATGAGGGATGTGTGTTTGGGTGCATGTATATACACTTGGGCAAAGGTGGACAAGAGCTCAGAGTCAGGAAAGGACTGCAGAGTTCCCAAGGTATGTTACACCATCCTCCCAGCATTAGTTACTACTTTTAATCACTCAGCCATTCAACATTCATTCTACAATAGGTGTTGAGCCTCTGCTATGGACTAGAAACCAAAAAACGAACAAACAAACCAGTTGCTATCGAGTCAATTCAGATTCATGGCAACCCCACGTAAGCAGAGTGGAACTGTCTTCCATAGGGTTTTCAAGATTGTGACCTTTCTAACAGATCACCAGGCCTTTCTTCTGAGGAGCCTCTGGGTGGGTTTGAACTGCCAACCTTTCAGTTAGTAAGCGCGCACTTAACTGTTTGTGCTACCCAGGAACTCCTGCTATGGACCAGAGAGTGGGTTACATGCACGGGACATAAAAATGAAAGACATTCCTGCCCTAAAGGAGCACAGCTTTACTTGTGACTGGTGATGAGCACTGTCCTGGTAGTGTACTAAAACTCAAGTGTGTTTCAGGGCTTAACTCTAAGTCTTCCAAATGGTTCTTTTTTCCCAATATGGCAATGTGGCTCCAATTTTATAAGAAAAATCAGTGGAAAGTTAGAGTTCAATTTATCGAAATGCATTCAGTCAGCTTTGCTGCCACACTTCCGTAGCATATACTGAGCCATACAGTCAATGCTTTAGCTAATAGAGTCAAAGTAATTGAATTTAAATGTGATGATTTTATCATCTTTACATTTTCCCCTGGATGTGCTAAGCTTCCAAATGGTCAAAATATCACTTCCTCCTCCTCCACCCATGCCTTTACTTGTCCCTTATAACCAGCAGATGGCTATATTGCCTTGGCCATTCAGATATGCCATCCCCAGGTCATATTTGAACTGTTCTCTCTCATCTGCAAGGGCAATAAAATAAAATCTTATTTGTTTCCTTAAGAATATCTTAAACATGCAAAATATATCATCTGTTTTCCATGCTAAGGTCCAGTCTCGAATCTTCTAGCTTGCACTACAGCAAGACCCTACCAAAAATTTTTTTTTTACTTAAATTTTTTAAATTTTACTTTAGATGAAGGTTTACAGAACAAATAGTTTCTCATTAAACAGTCAGTACATATATTGTTTTATGACATTGGTTACCAAAATCGTTTTTTGATAAGAGGATGGGCAATTAAGAACTAAACCACGGGCTTGAGTTCTGTCTGTTACTCAGGCAGCACAGTTGAGCACTGTTTATGGAGAAACAGGAA